AATAATAATAATAATAATAATACGCACCGACGTTGTCCATCACTACGAGCGCATACCCTGTGAGACCAAACAAGCATCACCACACGTGTGTTGGTAAATCTACCATGCCCCACTCCTTAAATTGTTCCTATCTTGCTATGCTATCATATGTACATTCGAGAAAAAAAAGGTGATGTCATGCGAAACTCATAGACGCATGAAGGACGGCGCATATGCAAAGTCGGCACTAGGACTGCAAAACGATATACCAGAGGAACCACACAATGCAACTCCGTTTCAGGTATCATAAAGAAACAAGTTTCAAACGCCAATCCCCGTCGTTACCCGTTAACCCCCTCTCCCCCAGTCATAAGCATGCTGTGTACAGCTAGATTAAACCTTTTCTGGCTCAATGTGTGCAGACTCAGTGTGCGCATGAGGCAAGACATCGGCGACTGTCTCGTCTGTAAAGTCGAGGTCCTTCTCAACCGCAGTAGTGTCCTCAACCTTCCAAAGGATCACAGGGAGGGCCACCAACAGACTACCGGCGAGGAGTCCCCAGTTTGAGGCAAACATGGTCATGTATGAGATCTTCAAATCATCCAAACGCCAGGTGATGGCACCTCCGGCAGATTGGATTCCCTTGTAGAAACCTGCAAAGTTGGCAAGCTTGCGGCTGTTGTTGGTCAAAGCTCCCATGAACCTGGATTAAATTAGTAAAATGTCGGAATGTGTAGAATTTGTGAAGAGCGTACCAGTAAACACACGTCTGCCAAGCAGCATCAAAGAAGCCGTAGAACATGTAGAGAACAAAGGGACCAGCATAGCCTGCATCAGACCAATCCTTCTTCATGTTCTTCTCATTTTCAGCCCAGGCGCGGTCGTAAGTCTTCTGGAACATGTATCCAAAGCCCCAGATGACCATGACGCAGATGAAGAGCGCAGCCCATGCGGCTTTGGCTCGGGTTGTTCGGCGGACGCCGTTGACGTCAAGTGCATAGCCAAAGATGTAAGCGCCGATGATCTGCATGATGTAGTAGACAACACCATTCAAAGCTCGTGTGCGAACGTTGAAGTAGGCAGCGTTAATTTCGGTGAAGTGATATGTGTAGAACCAGTTGGAGGCCAAGAACATGGGGAAAAGAAGGACAATGTACGGGTCCGTGAAGAAAGTCTGCCATAGACCGGTAATCTCCGACTTCCATGAGGGGTGCTTCATGACAATGACCTTGGATCCATCGTCACGGATGACATCTCGTGCATCAACCAGGGACCATGAGAGAGCGGCACCGATGATGGTGAGCACCAGGAAGCCGACATAGGTACCATCATTCACAGTTCCAGCAGTTTTGGTGTGGATGTTCTGGCCCAAGGGAATCTAGGAGGGTTAGTCATTGGCGGACGGAGCAGGGCGGAAAGAGCAAAACGTACCAAACTACCAATTACAGCGCCCAAGTTGAAGATCATCCAGAACCACGAGATGTAGCGACCCTTGGAAGCCTCGGGTGGGTACGACATCATAATCGCACCCTGGGCGCACCACAGCAGACCAGCGCATACACCAAGCAGGGCACCAGCAAAAGTGGTGAAACCGAGATTCTGGGTGTGGTTGTAGCAGAGGTAGGAGCCCACGTAGATGGAGTAGCCAATGCCGCCAAAGGACAGGGAAGTGCGGATGCCAAGCTTGTTGGTAAAGGTGCCAGCGAAGAAGCCGATGACGGCAAAGGTCGAGTACAGGGCCGTGTTTGCGCGATTGTTTGCAGTGGGATTCAGCTGGCCGCCGCCGCCCATGCCGTTGAGAGCATTGAACATGCCGGGACACATGAAGCAGACGAAGGAGACAATGACGAGCTGGGTCGGGGGAGAGGCGAACCAGGGCAACTTGAAGCCGGCGATGGTGAAGCGACGGTATTTCCATGACTTTGGCAGGTCCAGGGCGGTGCTGTCAGTCAGCGAGTGGTCTGCCGAGTTGACGTGGTGGGCCAAATTGTCCTTGTCGGTCGAGGCTGCCATGTTGGCGGATGGTCGGGCGCGGACGCGCACAAAGGGTGGAGGGCGAGGCTGGGGTGCAGCGTGGGTGGTGTAGTGGGCAGGAAGGCACGCTGTCGCGAGTCGGAAGGAGCAGGCGGGCACGAGGCGATAAAGATGTCGAATCGTAACGCTCAGACCACTGCGACGGCTGAACAGGAGTCAGGACAATTACGTGAGGGTCGGGGTAGTGAAAGCGAGGGGCGGCTTCATTTTAAGCATCCGTCCGCTAGGGGCTGTTGATGGTGCCTCGACAGCCAAATGTGGATTTGGGTTAAACGAGGCGGCCATCAGCACGCGACGGCGGTGCACTGCTGTGAGACGATGTGAGGGCAGACAGACGGGGGGCCAAGTGACGGCTGCCCAGGATGCCAGGATGCCAGGATGCCAGATGCCAGCATGTGCAGCTGGCCGGGGACTGGGTGACTGGGACGGCGACTGGGCCAGCAACATTACTTAGCAACGCATGCATGCAGGCTGGCAGGGAAGCCGATAGACTGGCAGACGGATACAGACGAAGATAGAACAGACAGACAGGCAGGCCGGCAGACGCGACTCGTATCCATGTGGTAGCGCACTGCCCAGTCGTCGTTGTCGGATCGGGCATATCGAGGGTCTGGGTGGGCCCAAGCGGGGCGTTGGAGGCGAGGAGCCCTGTGCTGGTGCTGGTGCTGGTGCTGGTGCTGGCTTTGGCTTATCGGGGGGTTGTGGGCACAGGCGCGGGCGCATCTGCATCCATCCACACACACACCCGCGCTACACCCCATAGGGACCCGGCACATGGGCGCAACGGCCACACTATCTCCCGGGCTACTACACGCCTGCCACCACCATGACTACTTGCTACTACCTGGCTGCAACGCTCTGGCAACCCCGCCACCCCGCACCCGTCCTGCCCAGCAGACAAACACTCAGGCATGCGAACATGTGGCCTGCACCTGAGGGAATGCTGCATGGGCCACACACGCTCCAGCAATGTAACACGACCATCTGCTGGCCCCCTTCGGGATAGCATCTTCATCCTCGCTGCCCGCTACTCGCTCCCCCAGCGGCACGCGACCCACGTGCCCACTGCTATCTGTCTGTATCTGCATCCACCATCGCTATCATCCCAAGCAGCAGCAGCATCGTCATGGTCGCCAACGTCACGAGCGGCATCGGCCAGAGATAACGCATGCTCCCGTAACATTGCACACGGTTGCAGCCGGTCTTTGTTCGGTCTCTCCATCTGCAACACCACGGCTGCCTTGCATCGCGACGTTGACTAGTAGCCGTCCGCCCTTCTCCCACATGTCTGCATCAGGCAACGTGGGCCGCTCCCAAGCCTTGACAATCAGTCGGGGCATTGTGAACAAATTTGCAATGATACTTTGACCAGGCTATGACGTGAAAGTTTGCACTGCTATGATAGAAATCACGCCCAGTCCCCCATTGCACATTCCCACCCGCAGCAATCACAGGCAGACAGACACACATACACACACACCCGCCTACTCACATACTATACCCGGCATACACATTGTACACACTATACACACTGATCTACCATGTAAGACCTGTTTGCCCCTCGACACAATACAAATGCATCCCGGCTTATACGACCTAGGCGCCTAATCATCAGAGACGACGCCCAGGCCGCGTCCCAGTACATTGCAGATTACATTATTGGTCCGTCGCTCACGCCCCCAAATGCACCTTCCCCAGCCCACTCACCCATCAACACCAGAGCGCATCAATGCCTTCAACCCCACCCCAGACAGACCCTTTGTCCTGGGCCTGCCCACCGGCAGCAGCCCCATTCTCATCTACAAGCACCTGGTCCAGCGCCACAAGGCAGGCCAGGTCTCGTTTCGCAATGTAGTCACGTTCAACATGGTACGACTTCTACTCCCAATGTTGCACAGCAGTCTCGCCTTGGGCCAAGCCATAGTAACAGTGACTCAATCAGGATGAGTATGTTGGCATTCCCCGCGACCATCCAGAAAGCTATCACAGCTTCATGTACAAGCACTTCTTCTCCCACGTCGATGTGAAACCAGACAACATCAACATCCTCAACGGAAATGCCCCTGACCTAGAGGCTGAATGCCAACGCTACGAAGACAAGATTAGCCGTGTCGGCGGCATCGAGCTGTTCCTTGGCGGCATTGGTCCCGACGGCCACATTGCCTTCAACGAGCCAGGCTCCAGCCTCAAGTCTCGTACTCGTGTCAAGACACTTGCCTACGAGACCATCCTTGCAAACTCGAGGTTTTTTGGCAATGACTTGGACCAAGTGCCCAAGATGGCCTTGACGGTTGGCGTCCAAACTGTGCTTGACGTAAGTTGTACACATCACAATGGCCGCCTGTTCACCCTCTCACCAATGCATACAGGCCCGCGAGGTGGTCATCATCATCACCGGTGCACACAAGGCTCCCGCCCTCCAGCGGTGCATAGAGGGCGGTGTCAATCACATGTGGACCCTGTCCAGTCTGCAGATGCACCCGCACCCCATGATTGTCGTCGATGAAGACGCCACCCTGGAACTTCAGGTAAAGACTGTCAAGGTACGTTGCATGGGTCATTGCATTCAAGTAATCATGCCGTCTGACATGCTTGTCATAGTACTTCAAGAGTATTGAAAGGGTCGGGAAGGAGCTAGGGATGCGCCAGAAGCTCCCCAGAAAGCGCGACTCGCTACTTGACGAGGGTACCTTGCTAGCCCCCGAGGCCCAACCAAACGGTATCAGGTTGACTGTGCCGCACTTCGATCTCTCCCGTTCACCCAGTCCAGTGCTAGAACCCATGAGCGCTCGCTTGTCAGACCAAGAAGCGACCGGCGCGATACATCCCATGGACATGGATGAGATTGCAGATCAACCCTCGGTCCGAATGGGTGCTCGCGTCGTGGGCTAACCGTTGCGCCTCTCCTCGCCCCATACTAGCAGCCAGGAAGATTGTCAGGAGAACGGGGCAGCTTGACATTAATCTTCCGAAGCCCGCAGACTGGTTCTCGGGACAGGGCTAGGTTTCCGCTTCTTTGTTAGTTCGACACCAAATTGTCCAGGCGTTAATTCGAGGGCCCGTCCACTGTCTTACGAAACGCGCAATCCCCAGGGGGTGGCGAAGGACACCAACCTTAATGTGATATGATTTATGTACTTAGAGGATAAAATAAGAATGCTTCTGGCCAGAACTGGTACGCTATCACGTGCACTTGATGACCAATCTTGACAACTCAAAGAATTATGCCATGGCCAGTTTGGTGTTGCACAATTCCCGGGCAACACTCCTCTCTTCTCTCGTGGCATGTTGTCTCTACAAATTTTTGTGTTGCGTACGTTCAAAGCTTCTCGTACAAATCCTGAACGTGATGATTGCAGACTGAGTAATTGATGTCGAGCTTAAAGTTGTAAAGTTCAAGGGAAGCGGTGGTGGTAGCACGCGTCATCTTGGTCGGGAAGGCGCGCCCCATCCTGGTTCAGATCCCCTCGCCCCAAAATAAGCCCGCCGCAACCCCCCCACAGACATGTCAACGCGCTGGTAGCCATGTCTTTTGTGGTTGAGTAAGTCGATCAATTGGAGCACCGCACAATCCCAACTGACGTCCAATTAGCCAGGTGCGCCGGATAGACAGCCAGCTCGATCGGCTGCAGCTGTCGTCGAGCACTAGGACCTTCTCCATTACCGCCGAGGAGGCCCACGACCCAGCAAAGACAAGCCGCATTGCTCATTTGCAGAACCTCATCAAGTCGCTCTCCACAACCGCCTCTTCCAAGCACAGTCTAGTCCCAGCAGCCAGAATATCTGAAACCTTGCAGCGAGCAAACATCTCTACCACAATCGAGGATGCGAGCTATGAGCATGAATTGGAATGGCTCCTCGTTAGCAAGGCGACAACGCAAGCCTACGGACAGGTTCTGAACACCATATTGGAGCAGACAATTCCTCTCGAGAATGATCTCTGGTACTGGGACGATATTCTCTCTACTTACAGCTTTGCCGGACTGTACTCTGTACAGACATCGCCAGTTCGGCTGTGGAAATGGTCGCAGGAGATATACCATGATGTGCGCTCAAGAGGCCCTCAATTGGCTGATGGCTGGAGCCAGTTTTATGGACTGGTCAAGGACACTGTGCAGGAGCGCAGTATTGCAAATATCCAGCGAAGAGTAGTAAGCCCGCTAGCACTTGTGAGAAATGAGGGCAGGAAAAAACGTGCAGCTCTAAGGAAGATACGAATGGTCAATGCCAACGCACTCGGTGTGCTACTCGGCGAAGGGCTGGGTAACGAGAAGTACGGCAGCCATCAAATCACATTGACATCTGCTGACATTTGCCAGCGTACATGACGATGGCACACAGACGCCTACTCTGCTCGGCACTCAAGGCGGGCAAAGGTGGAAGAGTGTCATGTCCAAGAACATTGCCCTCATGGATGCTGTCATTCAGAGCGTGAATGCTGCAGAGCTTTCCGTTGATAAGTTCGACGACTCGGTTGCCAGCATCACTCAAGACGACCAGTTCTATCTGCTACATGAGCCTTCCGGCGAACGGGCTGCAGCTACCCTGAAGCCAGCAGAAGTTGCTGAGCGTCTCCAGCACCTGCTCAACACTGCCTTGCCTACCTACACTGCCAACTTCAACGCAGTCGTCAAGGCCAATGGTCGTCCTTCTCGTCTGATACGCTATTGGCTCCCTGCAACCCTACTACTAGTATCTTCAACCACCATCCTGCGCATTGTTGTAAATCGAAAGGAAGAGCTGCTAACCTGGATCCGTGAGCTGGGGCAAACAGTCATCGACTTTTGGTCAAACTGGGTAATTGAGCCAACCAAGAGAATCATCGGCACCATTCGCCACAACGAGGAAAGCGAGGTCTCCATCATGAGCAAACGCAGCCTGGAATCAGATCGTGCCAGTCTCGAGCGCATGGTTGTGGATTTTGCAGTCAAGAATTCTGAAGGCCCGGTACTGAACGAGTCTCAGATAGCTGACATCAGGGCAAAGGTGCGCGAGGGTGATCTGACAACGGTTCTCAAGTCCTACGAGAAAGACATCCAAAATCCTGTCAGGGGTGCCATAGTCGGCAATCTAGCCAGCGCTTTACTTATTCAGGTTCAAAAGACCAAGGTTGATGTCGAGGTCGCGATGAGTGGCATTGACAGCATTCTCAAAAGTCAGGAGCTGCTTTTTGGCTTCATTGGTTTAACACCGGGTGTGCTGGTAAGCATTGGCGTCTATCGCTGGCTTCGAGGCGTCTTCAGCAGTCGCAAAGGAGTGCAGCAGTGGGCAAGGCAGGGCCGCATGATACTCATACTGCGTAACATTGACCGCATTCTTACTGCAGCGGTTCCGACAGCGGACGGCGAAATATCGTACAAGGACCACGGTTTACTCCTCTGCGAAGTCCATCTCCTCCGACAAGCTGCAAGTGGCACCCTGCCTAGACGCATGTTCCAGGACTTGTTGGTGGAGATAGACGAGATTGTGGACGTTAGAAGCGGGCTGCAGCGACAGCAGAAGGTAGTTGAGCGCATAAGGTGGGCGTACTCAAAATGGGTTGTTTGAGCGAGGCAGTCTTCCGTAACGGGGATGACGCAGCATTCGTGTACCCATGAATAGCGGAGTTGTCGACTACAATGCAAAACATGTACTGTATACCCCAAACGTGACAAGCCGCCATGTCTCAAGTGTCGAGTGACGGTGACGATGACGCCGGGTCAGGCCAGACTGGAGGCGCAGTTGCCACCAAGTCGCGTCTTGTCGCTTGTTGCAGGTGACAGTGACGAAGGTTTGGTGAGCCCGTGCGGACTATTGGCGCTAAACTCCAACGTTGGCACCGTGGGAAGGCTTCCCTCCAACGCCGTTTACTCGCTGCCTGCTAGTAACCAAACCCACCGCCAACTCTTCCCCAGCCTGCCTTGTGCTTGTATCAACACCCAAATACGAACTCGGGTACATTGCCAGCCTAGTCTCTCTTGCGACCGCCAGCCAAAGCCAGCCTCCCCCGTCTCACACCCCAAACAGCGGGTGCCAACGCCGCAATCCACTCTCGCGCACGATAACGCACACGGCCGCCCTCTACCAACATGGCTGGCTCCAGAAATTATGACTTTCTTGTAAGCTCCCCTTCTCTCTCCCCATGTTTGTTTGCCCTCGCGGCCCTAGTATCCCCCACACTCGCTGCTAGGCCCTGAACACCCCTCCACCGCCTGTATACAGTACCCACTCTCTAACACAAGTCCCTCTGTCCTTGTAGATCAAACTCCTCCTCATAGGCGACTCGGGCGTAGGCAAGTCGTGCTGTCTGCTGCGCTTCAGCGAAGACTCGTTCACTCCCTCGTTCATCACCACCATCGGCATCGACTTCAAGATCCGCACGATTGAGCTCGACGGCAAGCGCGTAAAGCTGCAGATATGGGATACGGCAGGTCAAGAGCGCTTCCGGACCATTACCACGGCCTACTACAGGGGTGCCATGGGCATTCTGTTAGTCTACGACGTTACCGACGAGAGGAGCTTCACCAGTACGTCTGTCCCATCACCTCCAAGAGCTTGATCGTGTCTCCGAGAGGCTTTGGAGAGAAGCAACAAAAGGAAAACGGAAGACATCACTAACGTTTATCACCAGACATTCGCACATGGTTCGCCAACGTTGAGCAACACGCCACCGAGGGTGTCAACAAGATCCTCATTGGTAACAAGTGCGATTGGGAAGAGAAGCGCGCTGTCTCGACAGAACAAGGCCAGGCTCTCGCTGACGAGCTCGGAATCCCCTTCCTCGAGGTCTCTGCAAAGAGCAACATCAACGTTGACAAGGCCTTTTACAGCTTGGCCGGCGATATCAAGAAGCGGTTGATCGATACTGCAAGGACAGACCAGAGCGCTACGCCAAAGGTGGACGTCAGCGGGCAGGACGGTGGCAATGCAGGCATGGGTGGCAAGTGCTGTTAAAGAGGGACGTGGAAGAGAGGCCATGCATGTATCTGCGAGTTTGAATTGAAGAGATAGTTTTGGAGGAGCAGGGGAGGATCAATGCGATGTTGAAGACGCGGGGGGGGTAAGAAGCGGTGGCTAGCTATGCAGACGGCTGGCACGTTAGCGCTTGTACTGAGGCTACGAAAGACGACTGCAGAAAGTTTGCATGATGATATATGGCACCACCATGGTAGGCAACTCGCTTGAGCGACTCTTTTGGGTATCATCACTTTCCTTACCACTTCTTTGTTCTGGCGTTTTGAGAGAATGGGAGTAACCTACCTTTTACATTACGTATTGTAATGCCAATCTTGTAAATGCACATTTATTTCCATCAAAGCCGCTAACCACTAATACACAAATCGCATGCATGGTGCCAAATAGAGCCTACATACCGTTCGATGATATTAATTCCACAACACCATTTGTCAAGCATCTTCAAGCATACCCATACTCTAAAGCATTACCCTGGCATCGTAAAAACTCTCTCTCTCTCTCTCTCTAGCCTAGAAGAAGGCACACCATCCAATGTACATAGCCGCCAGGTTCTGCGGATCCCTCGCCATGGCAATAAGCGCATCCACATATCCCTCCACGCTCAGCGGTACACTCTCGCCCTTCAAAAACCCATTCACTTTAGTCCTTGTAATGTCCAAAACCTCCTGCGGCGTATCCGGCACTCCCGAAATCTTCTTCCTGCGCTTCCCACCTAGGAAATCGGCCGTAGGATCGTGCACAAACGTCTCCAATATCGTGATAAGTGTGTCTTCATGCTGACGAAGGAGCTTATATGTGAGCTCTGCCGCTTTGCGGAACGGGCCTTCGACGCCTTGCGGGCCCATGGCATCCACCATGTTGTGCGTCAGCCGGAAGGGGACGAGTTCGGGTTTTTCGAATGTAAGCCCTTTGTCGAAGAGACAGTTAAAGTCTACGTGGAAAGTACCACCGTTGCCCTGTTCTAAGAGCACGTTTTCGCCGTGACGATCACCTAGACCCAGGACGTGGCCTGCGATGCTCATCACTGCGCAGGATCGAGTATAACGTAGGCGCGCGGCAAACCATGCTTCTGGTTCGGGAAAGGTTTCGACGAACCATTCGTGTAGCACGGGTTGGAACTTGCCAAGGATGCGTTCAGTGAAGATGGGGATCTTGGAAGGCGATGACGACGCTTCGTTGAGTAGCATGCGGATCTCATTGTAATCAATAGAGATGTTGCGTTGGCGGTAGAAACGCAGAATGATGTCGCGCATTGGCTTGAGGCCCTCAACCCACTCGATTGTGCCACACTCTTCATTTAGTGGAGTGACGGCGTATGTCTTGATGTACAGGCGTCGCTTGCTGGATTCAATGTCCTTTTGGAGAGCCCGGTTGATCATCGCATTGAACTCCATCAGACGCTGATCTTTGCGTAGATCGTCTTTTGGTTTGCAGAGCAGTCCGTAAGAGCGTCCATCGGATCCAAGGACGTTCAGCTTTCGTGGGCGCTGAAGTGATGACAAGACCAGCACGTCGTCATCAAACGACTGGATGGTGATGGGGTCTACAGGAAATGGGTTGTGACGACGAATAGCTTGGCTATCATGACCCACTGGTAAATTTGGAAGAAGATTGGTTTCAATTGGAACCACTAGTTGAGTAGGGGCAAGCTTGTGGTTGAATCCGAGATCCCTTGCTAGGCTCACACGTGCAACTCGCGATTCAATTGGGGCATCGCAAGCCGCCAGCAACGCATCAGTAAGTCGCTGGCCTTGAATGATGAGATTCTTAAGATCAACAGACGTTCCCTTGCGCTTCGATGTATCCTTGTTTTTTTGTTAGCAAGTCTTTTTGCCTTGATTAGCTTGAGAACTTACGCGTAGTTTTTGCAGCACTGCAGAGCCACGGATTCGGCGGTCGTCCTGCGTTGAATGAAGGACAGCCAACAAAGCCCATAGCGATTGCTGAGGGTATGATGAAGCAACCCGAATGATGATCATTTGGAGAGCATCCCAAACGTTCTTATTCGGATGGCTGATGCGTGTGATGATCTGCGGGAAGGCGGTGTACCATGCGAAAGCAGGCATTCGCTCTCCTGCATAGCGCTTCAGATACTTGTTGATATGGTCGAGATAGCCCAGCCGATGTTCATGAAATTCTTTATCCTTCACGGCGCGTGGGGTGCTATTCATGACTTCCATGCCCATGTCCAACCACAGCGTGAGTATCTTAGGCAGAGTTTGATAGTAATACTTTGTTCCGTAGACCGTTGATCGAACAAAATTTTCAATGACGAGCTTAGTCAAACTCCCAGATAGATATTCTGGGCTTTGCTTCGTTACTGACTGCTGTTTCTCGGACTCCAATAGTTTGAGGTACCATCTCCCTAGATAGTAGTGACCCTTGTCCCACCGGGGATAGGTTGTGACACCAGTCACGTACTCTTCTTTAAGAGAAACCGCTTGTGTCTGGCCAGCACGATCAAGCCATTTCGCAAGCAACAGTTGAGCGTGGCACTTGACCTTGTTCATCGGATGCTCTTCTCCTCGGCCAGCAGTAGTCACCGAAATGTTGATTGGCACAGTCTCGTCGTGCTGAAACACATTGCTGTCGATTGCACCACGTAAGTTTTGAATAGCTTTACGGTGATGGCCTTCTTTCCATAACAGCTTAGAGTACTCAATTTTCGATGCATTATCTCCTAGTCGTTCGGCATGGAGTACGGAGTTGAATGCAGTCGTCATGAAGTCCCCCTTGCGAGCAAGTCTTCCCGTTGTGAGCCACGCAGATGCAATGTCGAGTTTGTTGAACTGAACCCTAACACCAGTCAGTATTAGTATTCCACGCTATTTGAGTGCTGTAATTACCGAGACAGCTTCATCGCGGCACGACGAATACCTAACAGGTATTGCTTGTCTGAGGTGTAGGCTCCAATAATGTCCAGGCGTCGATCGAGATTCTCTAGAATCACTTCACGGTCTGCTATTACCATACCTGTACCACTTACAGCCTCTACTTCGTACAGCGCATGAAGCTTGACCAAATGCTCATGCGATGCTTGGACAGAAGCCGTCGTCGATACTGTTAAGCTCTTTGCTACAAGTTCTCGGAGATGTGCAATGAGACGTCGAAATTCGCCAACCTTATCATGACGAAGTGCTAAGAGTGCTTTGCCCATACCTACGTTGAAGTCCATGAAAGAATTGGAATCTGTGGAACGAGAATTGTTAAGGAGGCGCTCGAGTTGTTCCCATTTCCCAGCTGACCAAGCTGCCTCAGCGGCAAAAGGCAACGTCTTGGCTGAAAATGAGTTGTTGGCGTTGAAGCTATCAACATAATTGAGAATTGCATCTGGTCTAGGCATTAGCTAATTCTTTTGTGAAATTCGTATGCGCCCGTACCGTATTGGCCAGATTCCTTCAGACACGTCAAGAGATTGATCTGGGTTTCGGCGTCGTTCGGTCTCTCAGCGAGTGCAATCTCATACCAGCTTTGAGCTGCAGTCCATCGACCGGCTTTACGGTCTTCCATTATTTGCTGTTCCGGATTGAGAACCTTTAGGTGAGCCGATATTCCCTCTATGCTGTCCGGTTCATCAATGTGGGCATAGATCATCTGCAGGTGTTGCAAAAGTTCGTCCTTCTCTAAAAAGGACTGGTTTGATTCCGCCTTTACGTCCCGTTGTTGGCGATAGTACTGCTCCCAGTGGAACAAAGCTCGAGCATACGAGCCGCATTCGACAGCTCTCTGGGATATGATCTCTGCAGGAATAAGTTGAAGTATGCCTTCCACACGACTGACCTGCTTTATTGCATTCATCTCTTCGTTCTCGTGAACACCGCGGCCTGTCTTGCCAGCCATGACCCTGGCATCTGATAAGGATTTCCGCTTTTCCTGTAGCCACAATGAAAAGTAGTCAAGCGTCTGGAATACGTTCTGCTAGATTTCAATAATTGCTTCCGGGTAATGATTTCAGATCTTCTTACCTCGCTACATTGCTTTGTAGTAGATGCCTCATGCTGCTCCATTGTGGACAAATCAGCTTGCAATACCCGGAGAAGTTCTTTCCCAACGTTGGCCATGTTCTCTTCGTTATCAGACACGACAACATTCAAAGCCGCGAATGGAAGAATGAAGGTTGCGATTGAGAGGTCATAACCCCTAATTATTCGCGCTAAAACTGGGAAGACCATCTCGACATTCACGCCTTGCCCTTTTCGCAGCAAGTCGTAAACAAAAGTCTGAAGCCAGGTTGTGTGACTGAGTCCTTGATGAAAGATGGGGTATTTCGCGCCTTCGTACTGCAGAGCGGGATTCATATTGACGGAGTATTTTGAATCCAGGAAAGGTGTCAACACGGTTCTCACAGCTTCTGGAATATTATTCCAGCGTTGTGCTTCCGTGCTGCCCTGAGACGACCGAGGCTTTGCTCCTCGAAGAGCACTGAAACCACAGTGCTTTAGCATTTCCTGCATGACATAGGCAATCCATCCTTGTGCTTTTGCGTTCGTTGTAGATAAGAACACCTTGACAAGGACCTGCTCAAGAAGCAATGCCACAAAGTCAATGTCTTCGTCTCTACGTGAGAAATTTGAAAGCATCAATACGCGCTTTTTCTCTCGAACCGTCTCTACTCGATATGGATCAAGACCACCGATAATCCCGAGACACTGTGCACATAGTATGGTGATATCAGAATGGTCTCCTGAAAATCGAACACTAGCATCAAGGAGAGATCTAGTCAAGGCCGCCAATACGGGAAGTGGCTTTTGGCCGACTACGGACTGATGCAACTCTTCCTGGTTTTCGTCCAAGAAGGGCACCAGCTCTCTAAGTGCTTGACGCACTACGACAGAATTCTGATCTTTGCACCGATTGCTGAAGGCATGAAAGACCTTGATCGTCTCTACCATGTCCTTAAATCTTACTAGTTCTCCTTCTATTTTGGACAACATCGGAATGGCTCCCAGGGAAGGGAGATACTCAACTCTTGCTCGGAGCTGTGCGTTGTGTTGTGCAACAATGTTTTCGATGGTTTTGTGAGCCTTGGTATGCGTCTCGTCCGAGAAAATATTCCAATGCTGTACGATCAACGCAAAAGTTTGGTCGATGACTAACATTGTCTCGTCCGCGTCGAGAGCCGATAGGAAAGCTGACCAGACATTGAACGTATCATCGCAAAGATTGGGGTCTGCCATAGCTGACTGAAGGCAAGCGCGGATCTGAGGTAAAGCTCCGTTCACACTATAGCGAGCAAGGTTGATGAGATCCCCTATGGCAGCTATACACCTCCTCCGTTCTGGCATGGTATATGGCACAGCTTTTCCAGGAGAGTTTGGTGTTTCGATCACATTGGAGAAATATGCTATGATGCCCAGAATATGCGTTTCGCAGAAGGCATCAAGATTCTTCGATTTTGACGTAGACTTTCGTGGGCCTGATTTGGTATCCGGTGCAAGCGTGGCGAGCGTGGTAAACCCATTATAGAACGGCTTCTTTCTGACTCCTTCTTGATCAGCTGCTAACAGGAGTATTTCAATAGCAATGCCCGTTATGTCCAGGGCGACCCAGGACTCCAGTCTGTTATTGCTGCTGTCACGGATAGCGGGTTCAACAGCAGCCAGTGTTTCCATTGCAGTGCGTTCAACATTAGGCACAGGTTGTGACAGAAGCAAAGCTAAGATCTTGGCAAGATTGACTCTTGGATACGTCAATACGTCGACAACGGCGGCCTTTCGTGCTTGAGCAATCTTCTCAATGATATCCCTCCTTTTACTCAACACAAGATGGGGTAGTGTGTCCGATTGAGTTTGCACAAGGAGTTGACGAACGCTTTGTTCAGTCAGATCTGCCAATTGCTGTGCCTTCTGGGGTTTGTTGACAATATCCTTGATGACAGAAAATCCGATAACTTTCCAATAGGGGCGCAACAACTGTGTTGTATCCATGGAAAGTCCTTTGGCAATGGACTCAAGCTCACGGTAAGCCATACCACACACCAATGCGTTCGGGTGACCAAGGTATTCGACGAGATGATGCAATATGATTGGAAGCTCCAATTCGCTGCATGTTTGAGCAATTCGACCATAAGCTATGATTAGCGTCTCCTGATCGGACAGAAAATCTCTCTTTGCGAGTGCATCGAGAAACTCTATAGCAGACCTCCGATTCTTTTCGCGAGTACTTCTCGAAATGTCGTTGCGAAGAAAAACCATGAGGGAGTTTGCAGCTGCAATTTTCAGCTCTCGCAGGGATCTGCTCATACATGCAAGCAACCATTGTCCTAGCTCGCAATTCTCAAGAGCCAAATATTCGGCATCTGAGATATGGTTGTACACACGGCCAATAGCCACAGCCATGAGAATTTTTGATCGTGACGATGCTTGAAATTTGTCTTCCCTAGTGATTGCCAGCATAGCAGCAATGGCATCTTTCCAGTTTTCCGCGCGATCTAGGAAGTCCCAATGAGAATTCTCAGTCCTTTCCTGCTGGTTATTGATGTCACACAAGGTGCAATTAAAGGAATCCAATGAATGCGACGTGAACCGTGGCAATTCCAGACATCGGGAACCAGCGCAAGCAACTCTTGCCAATGCTGTGATAATTTCTTTCTGCGCACTCTCATTTTGCTCTTCGTCATCCGGTATGGAAAAGTATCTTGCCCTACAAAGGTAAGCGTTGTGTAAGGAGCAGATTAGGTCAGCTTACTGAATAATATCCTGCGGATTGAACAAGTTGAGTACTGGGGAATCCTGGGTGCTACCATTCACAATCATCATAATTCGCCTAAGAGTATCCTGGTTGATATCTTCTGAAGCTTCTGGAAACTTTTTCCGTCGCTTGGCTGGTCTGTCTCCGTCACCCAGGTTCAAGGCTCGGAATGCCTTGACAGCGGACATCGATTCCTCGGAAAGTTGAGCATGAGAGAAACTGCCAAATTCATTCTCACAAAGCTCTTTTCGTAGATCTGCAACTTGCATAGACTGTGTACCTGGCGAAGTCCAAAGACAAAGTGCCAGCTTGATTTCGTCAGTAAAAAAACACACTATAGTAAAGACTACGTACCTGTAAGTCTTTATGGAGCTTGACAAAACACTCTTCATCTTGAAACAGCCTGTCCACAGCATGCTCAATTTCATTCTGGATAACTTGTCTGGTTACATCTTGTCGTCGTCGCGGGATGGGGTTGTCAATTGATTGATAGCCGAGAATGCTGCGCAGGCGGGTGAATATGGATGCTATTCGGATCTGAATAACTTCTGATGTCTGCGTAGCAGACAAGCTATGGAGGAGTTCAACAAGACTGCTGGTGAGCGCTTGAACGATCTTCGACAAAGCTGACGTGCAGTCTCTAGGTGTGACTGAAGAGATGAATAATGACTCCAACAACTGCATGTATACGAGCATAATCTCATCATAGATTGCGCGCCTCTCTGAAGATATCGTCCAACGTCTGTAATGTCGCCATAAAGCCTGTACGCTGTCCATGATCCAAGGTAAATGATGCTCCAGGTTAACCGAGGTTGCAAGTGCCTTGCTTTGCGGGTGTATAGTATCTACCAAGGCAAGCAAGAGGCAAAAGCCTACATGAATAGCCCCGTGATGAGATGAGATAGCCCGCTGTAGATCATGAGGTAATGCAACGAACTGCTGGCTTTGCGGCCAGAAGCTGTTGACAGCGCTTGATGGTGGTAGAACTAGACTGAAAGACGACGCTGGTGGTGAATCCGGGTGGTCCAAGGCCTCAAGTTCCGAAAGGATACCTGGAAGTGGTTACAAAAATTTGTCGGATTAATGAAGATTACTCACATTGTATGCAAGATCTGTAGAGTTGCAACACCATTGCGGCTGGACGCCATAGTGTCGAAGTCTGAGTCAATGTATTGAGACAAAGATGCAAAAGCTGCTGGGCATGCTTGTGTACAGGCTGCAGTGTCGTATGTGTCAACAAACCAAGCAGCTTCGGGTACAGCCAGAGGATGAGCGGAGGGCCAGGAATGCTCTCGTCGTCACCTTGTTTGATGCTCACGAGCAGATGCGGCTTCTGCTGCAAGATAAACATAAGTGCCGCGATGCTGTCAATCCCCTGCTGCCTTTGTTGATCTTGAGCAAATGGGTCATCTTTGAAAAGGCCCTCAAGCCCTGCTTCGGCAATCACACATATGAGTGCAACCAGCTGGGGGTCAGGCTCATCCGTGTTTGGGTGCTGTAAGAACTCTTTGACCAACTCGCCAAACGTGACTTTGGTAGCTTCGTCACGTTGCGCATTGACATTTGAGGCATTGTGAACAATCTGGGCAGCAATAGTCGACGGCGGAGGGATGCCATTTGAGTGCCCACTTGTCAGAGGCGGCGGAGCCATACGTTGAGTCGAACCCCCGCCTTTGCGGGCCATGATGGTCGCCACTTTACCGGTGTAGCATGACTTGGGAACGTAGAGGGGAAGATCGAGGCTTCTTCAAGACCATCCACACTCAGAATATTGCTAAAAAAAATCGTGGACTGTCAGACACTATCGTTAACGACTAAATTGGCGTGTGATTGGATGCTGAAAGACTCGTGGTTGAACGTCACTGCCAATGGTTGCCTGGGAGCAGCAGTATTGTCTGGTCGACCGTTTTTAGTCTGACTTTATGTTGTCGCTGTTGGCACTTTACCGTTGTGAGCGATGGCGTATGGCGAAAGAGCAATGCGTACCAAAGAGGGACTTGGGTGGGATGACGTGAGGCGCGTGTTGGATAATTCACGTAGTCACGGGACGCCGCCAAGTCTTGTCTCGGGAAAGAGCGTTGCTTCGCAACTGCATCATCCATCTCCAGACAGAACTTGCGGGCCCGCTTGCCGATCCGAGAACACAACACACCACCTTGAATCCATATTGCTGAACTGCCTGTCTGCCTGCCCTGGCCTAGCCTTGACAAATCCGAACTATGCCAGGCCCCTTCACATCCAAGTCTTTCAGCGCCACGCTGCCCAACTCGCTTGCAGCACGGTACCGCAAATCGCTTCAGAAGCACCCGTTCCTACTCTTTGGGCTGCCGTTCCTCACTACCATAGTGGCGGGGTCTTTCATGCTGACACCCGCCACGGCACTGCGATACGAACGATATGACCGCAAAAACCAGCAGATCACACAAGAGCAAGCAATGGGCCTCAGAGGGGAGCGGAGGAAGGTCAATATGCGCGATGAGTACTACGTACGTACAATGCGGATATAGGGTTTCAATCGCTCGAGCTGACAGATTTGTAGCGGTTGCAAGCGAAAGATCTTGAGGACTGGGAGCAGAGGCGTGTTAAACGACTACCCGGCGAACCGGACGGCACGCTCGTATAAGCCTCTTTCTCAAAATGCATTAAATCCGCATACTCACAGTCGGACTTGGAGGTGCAATATTGCTGCCTACACAGCATGCTACATTGTAGCTACGCTCACCTTGGTTTCTGGGATACACGATCATAATAGTAGAATATCGTGAAACTATCGCGAAAAGTTCGGTTCATTTCGAATCCTTCCAGTCATTCATTGCCATAGAGAACAAGAGAGACAGGGGATTTTGCTGCAAGAATTATGTGTTGAAGCAATACTCAAGCAGTTGCGCTCCCAGATTATTGAAAAATGGTAAGCGATGAGAATAGCTATGCGACCAGCTGAAAAGGGTCGACAGTTTGGGTTTGCGCCAGGACGACAGAGTACGCTTTCGAAGGCCGGTTCTCCTTTGTCGAAGTGAGGATAAGTGTGGATTGGTTGTTGAAACTCAGGCGCTAAACTGCTGAGCTATGAGTCCTTATTCGGTTGAATGCATACCACACGCCCAAGGCTGGCGGATCGTGATGATGCAACAATGACCCTCGTCTCCTAGAAGATGAGACTGCAAACGGATACTCAATGCCCGGATTGCTCACAGCGGAGGGAGTCACTAATAAATCTGCGATAAGTACATAGGCTGATATGATTGCCAATGGTATTTCAGGTTATTCTATCTACTACCTCCTCAGCATGAACTCACGCGACAACTATAACTCGCGGTTCCGGATCCAACCATCGCAATATGTACAAGCTAGTGAAGGAACATTGTACGCCGATATAGACCAATAGGACCCCCTTTCCATCCTATCAAAGACACAGAGACAAACGCTATAAGCATAGCATGCAACAATATGACTAAAGGAAATGAGAACAGGTATATGCCGGATATGCGTGAAAACTCGTAAGCAGTCGAGTGGGAAAGCGCCATAAACACCACAACATAAGATATACCCAGTGCTTGCATGGAAGGGAAAAGAAAACAAAGGAGTCGTAGTCCAGGATGCATCCCTCGCTCCAGGAATGGATGAAATAATGAAAAAGCTTATACCAAGCGCCCATTATTTAGCTAAACATCCACTGACAGTGGCAGGCGTCTGGTGGGTCGGCACGTCTCTGCATTTCAGGAGGGTTTTGACGCTTGCCCTTGTTTGGCGGGGCATTGCTGGGCTGAGCAGCAAGGAACTCTTCGTAGCTCGGATCTGCCTCTTGCAACCATATTCTGATTGGACTATCGTTTGGACCTGGTGCTGTCGTAATCTGTCCGTTGTCTAATAGAACCATCTGTTGGCAGTACGGCTGTGGCGAGTTGGCGAGGCGGCGCTCCTCAATCTTGACAGTACGCGGGTAAGGTGGCATACGCGATGGAGGATCATCGGAAGATGTATCTCGTCGACTGGCAGGAGCAGAAGCAGATGTAGTTGGCTTGGCAGTCTCGATAACATCCACTGAAACAGTGTCCGTTGTTGTTGCTGTAACGGTCAGAGCCTCAATGGAAACGGTTTGCAGGGTGGATGGAGTGGGGGTAGGCCATTCAGTAGGAAAAGACGTAAATGAGGCTGCCGTCGAGTTGTCCTGCACGTAGATATAACCCTCGATGTATGTGTCGTTCCAGTAACAATACCAGGGATAGTCGCCAGGCTTCACCTCAAATCGTTGCCTATACATTACTTCTTGTCGTGGCGTGATTGCTGACCCAAGGTTGAGTTGCTCTGGTGGCAGGATGACCAGTTTGTCATACCGAGCAGAAAAATGGTAAGCCGGGCCATAAGCCTTGAAATCCAGGTCAAGTACGAGGCTAAGTGGCTTCTTGTCTAGCGTGGGGGTTTGGAGGCCATAGAGGATAGTTCCCTTAGGTACAGAAGGACCAGCGCCCATAGATGCTACCTGCACGGTATCGCCATCGACAGTGGTTTGGTTGACCGTTATAACGAGGGGAGCAAAAGTCATCTTGCACGACCATGCAGAGAATTGATTTGCTTGAGTTAAGCATCCTGGAGTGCTCTCTTGCGGTATGCCCATAGGAAGCGCGAAAGGCCCTGTAGGTATTGAAGCCATGCCAGAGGGGGCTGAAATAGGGACAGCGTCAAAAAGAGATCCGTTTTGACCAGTGACCTGCGGTTGGCTACTCAAAGTCAGCGAGTGAGGATTGTCAGATACCTATTAACTTACGCTTCCTCATGCGGGTGACGATTTCCCTCATCGTTCTCGTCAGTGATCTGTTTCTTAGTAGCCAAGGTACCGATTGCAGCTCCAAGGGCGATGGCAAGAACTACGATAGCTATTAGGATTGCGAGGGCAAGACCCATTGGAACTTTGCCCCATAACTTCCTCTTCTGCCAAGGGGTTTTCTCGTCGGTCAGCTCCGATTTCTCTGAAAACTGATTTTCATTCGCCAACAATGACGCAGACGAAGAGTCTGAAGGCTCAGCTGGTATAGTATGGTTGCTTGATGGAGCAGTGGAGGTAGAGGGTGCCACATTGCCGGTTTGAGTTTCTGGTCTTTGAGGGGGCAGCCGGGCGGGTGTGACGGAAGGCAAGAGAGGAGCTGCAGGAGTAGCAGCAGTTGAGAGGGAGGATGCCGAGAAGGATGCCGAACCCAGTGGTGACACGGGGGACGGTGGAGAATTGAAAGGGTCCTCTGGATCGACTTGGGCAGGTGCAGGGACTACACGCGACGCGCTTGCCTCGGCAGCCAAGGATGCCTTGGTTGGACCTTCCTCTGGATATCTTGAGTACGGGGGAAGCTGCTCTGTGTGGCCGTCTGGTCCAATGATGTCTTGCTCCTCGCCATCGGGCCCAAGCACTCGATGGTAGCCATTGTTTAAACCCGGGAATCCAACGGGAATAGCCGATTGTACCGGGGGTGCAGGTGGCCGTGCGGGCTCTTCTGGTGGTTCCTCATCGACAATTCCACTCTGCGAGTACATGGCATACGGATGAGTGGGCCGCTGTAACGACATGGATCGATGTGGCTGTCGCTCTGTCGAGCTCGTCGCCACACTCAATGGTCGCGCCATGGATAGCTGCGGATACATGCCATAGGGATGGCTGGGCCCAGTCTCAAAAGGGTTTTCTGAATTGCTAGTTGTCGCGAAAGACGCCGTAGAGCTCACCGAGTCGCGATGTGTATGCCCCAGGGGTGACCGTTGGCTGGGTCCCCTGTTGAGCGGCGATCGGCCATCTTGCGTCATGGGGTCGTATACTTTGGCGGTGCTGTTCCGCGTAGCCGTCCTCCGCAAATCTGTGCTGTTGGGTTTTGACGTGGACGTCTGTCGCTGCGGTGTAGCTATCCGGTCGTGGTCCTGACGGTCGCTGTGCCACGTCTCGCTAGCGTTGGCTGGCCGAAAGCCGTCCGAAACTGAGGGCATGAAGTCATCTTCGCTCGGATCGATTTCGTTATCATCATCGAAAACATCGGGTTCGCTCGAGCGCCGAGATGGCTCGTTATCGTCACTGTTGCGTCTATCCATGGCGCTGAACGGTCGTCCCTAAGAGCCACAGAGGCTCTGACCCCCCTGCCGGATCTCTCAAACAGCGATTCAACTTTCTCTCCGTAAAATTCTGGTAGTAATGGCGCGCTCGGAAGCGATCGGTCGTGTGCGGATAGCGAGTGTGGTGCGGTTTTTGGTGTATATCGTGTCGTGATGTTGGGGCTGTGTGTGGAGAGAGGGCGCATCGGGCAGGTTTGGAACTTGGAAGTCTGAGACGCCACTAGTCCCAAATCGGCCGGTTAGCACGAACACCCAGTCCTGTGCCTGCACCATTCGACAAGGTCGCGAAACTAAGAACACACGCCTTTGCCAACCCCTCTTCCAAGTGCTGTTGCGATTGCCAATGCCTTGTTCTTGATACATAGACGCATAATTGCACATTTACGCCTATTTGCTTGAAATCACTACGATTACTCTGTCCTGGGCCCAACAAGTACATGGGGGGCATGTCATTTGCGCACTACTGCCTCAACAGACTCTACGCTTGCAGACTTCAGCGGCTGCTCGGATTACACGGTTTTGTCGAGTGAGTGCGATGGTTTTGTGTTGACATGCACGCATATGTATACATGTTCAGTACATACACTATAGCGACTGATGGACATGTGTATATATGCATATATGTGCATGTACATGGGTAGCGAACGGTGACAATCCGAACGTGCGCTTCATGACTTTTGCATACTTAGCAGCCTCCCCCATGTGCAGCACGCCATTGCGAAGCGATACGGTGTGATGTGATACAGTTTTTTGCATTGCTTCATGTCGGCCACTTTCTTGATCGACATGCGGTCTTACCCGGTGCATTCGGCGTCCGTGGAGTGCAGGCCGTCGCCACCCGTCCCTGTTTTTAGTGAAGTACTAGTGGGTTCCCGAGTCTATCATCACTACTCACTGTCTGTACTATCATTCACACAAAGATGTATGTGCATCATAAATAAGAGCGCGATAAATTGTGTACATACATGCGATGGTTTCTTCTGATGAGATCGTGATAGACTGGCGGATAGGGATCAGAAGGGATTTTGTATGGATGCTGGATGTTGGTGATATGCGGTGCTGGTTGCGTTGGCCGCCCTTGTGCACTGTGCGCACAATGCATCCCCTCGGTATACATTTCATCTGCCACCTTTATGGAATTACTGCTTTTGTAACATTTGCTCAACACGCATAGTGTATCAGTGAAAGTCTACACAAGGTCAGGATGAGTGGATGAATATCGGCAATTGCCTGATGCTTTGACCATCCGATAACCATGCCCTTCCTGGCCGAATTCCTATTTCCTTAATCTGTTTCGGGAAGAAACCCGTCGCAGGACTACTTCCAACCCCGACGACATGTACGTCAGCCATCCGGGAAATGCTGGCACACGATGGCACATGCTGGCTGTTAGACGGCAGCTGGATGCAGCTGGATGCAGCTGGACGCCTCGCTTACGAGCAGCCGCGTTATGCGGGCTGTGAGGCTACGTGCTAACCAACTACTACTGCAGACAAGCTTCGTACGATTAGAGGGCTGCTCGGTTCCCGAAGTAGGCGGTCTTGGACAGGTACCCGTTATCTCTGGCTACTTGCAGGCCTGGGCCTACTTACAGGTGTGGCTGCGTGTTTGACAAGTTACACATTACATAGCCGTAGCTGGCGGCAAATCCCTGAATGCCAAGCCCATATCTGATAAACTGTCGGGTAGTTTTGCTCCCTTGAATCGCCTTGCCCTGAGTGTTGGTGGCACGACAGCAACTCTGGCCGAGAAGGGTGTCAAGAAAAAGAAAAAATCAACCGTCGTGCTCGCAGCGTCAGTGACGAGGGAGCTGGCAAAGGAGCCGCATGGTTTCTTTTTTGGAGAAACCCCGCAACATGGCAGCGACGTCGATGCTCCCTGCAAGAAGACCCTTGAAACTTTGTTGTGAAAATCCGCCGACAACAATGACAGCGCGTGGGCCGTCGACGGCGTTAACAGCCACAGGCCGCACAAATTCATTACTCGCCCCCTATCGAGCCATGCTCTTGATCTCTTACTAGCATTGCCACATTCGGATCGCCGCTATTACTGTTGGGGCCCTTTTCCACTTTACGCGTAGCATCCTCCTCCTTCAACTACTTAAACCAGCGGTGTGAACTCCCCTCTTTTCTGCCCACACAATCTCTTCCTACTCAATCCCCACCACGTCAAAACACTGCAACCATGGCTGCTCGTCCCTCCAACATCGGCATCAAGGCCATTGAACTCTACTTCCCCAGCCAGGTACACTATTTCCACTCCTTGCGCATGCGACAGGCGTCCTCGCCCCCTCACGCGTCCATATTGCCGCAACACCCGCTAACTAGTCTCCCTGCAGTGCGTTGACCAGACTGAGCTCGAGAAGTTCGATGGCGTCTCCGCAGGAAAGTACACCATTGGTCTCGGCCAGACCAAGATGTCCTTTTGCGACGACCGCGAGGGTGAGTTGTACCATTCCTGCCGTTTGGCATTACTCGTTCCTGAACACAAGACTGATTCCCCACCTCCACAGACATCTACTCTCTCGCCCTGACCACCGTCACCTCCCTCTTCAAGAAATACAACATCGACCCCAAGAACATTGGCCGCCTCGAGGTCGGCACGGAGACGCTGCTTGACAAGTCCAAGTCTGTCAAGTCCGTCCTCATGCAGCTGTTCGAAGAATCTGGCAACTACAACGTTGAGGGTATCGACACTGTAAACGCATGCTACGGAGGAACAAACGCCCTTTTCAACTCAGTCAACTGGATCGAGTCGTCGGCCTGGGACGGCCGTGACGCTATCGTCGTCGCAGGAGATATCGCGCTTTACAAGAAGGGTGCTGCCCGCCCCACTGGTGGAGCTGGATGCGTGGCCATGCTCGTTGGTCCCAACGCGCCCCTCGTCATGGATGCCGGCCAGCGCGGTTCTTACGTTAGGCACACATACGACTTCTACAAGCCTGACCTTAAGAGCGAGTACCCCATCGTCGATGGTCATTTCTCCCTTCGCTGCTACACTGAGGCGGTAGACGCCTGCTACAAGGCTTACAACGAGCGCGAGAAGACTCTCAAGGCACGCCTAAACGGCAATGGCGTCAACGGAAGCAGCCACGAGCTTGAGACTCCTCTGGACAGGTTCGACTACATGGCTTTCCATGCGCCAACCTGCAAGCTTGTCGCCAAGTCGTACGCGCGTATGCTCTACAACGACTACCTTGTCAACCCCACCAACCCCATCTTTTCCGAGGTTCCCGCCGAGCTCCGCGACCTCGACTATGCCACTTCTATCAGCGACAAGACTGTTGAGAAGACATTCATGGGTCTCGCCAAGAAGCGCTTCGCTGCCCGCGTCCAGCCTAGCATCCAGGTTCCAACCGAGTGCGGTAACATGTACTGTGGCAGTGTCTACGGTAGCTTGTGCAGCGTGCTCGCCAACGTCAACAGCCAAGATCTGCAGGGCAAGCGCATTGGCCTGTTCAGCTACGGAAGTGGTCTGGCCTCGTCCTTGTTCTCTTTCACCGTCAGGGGCAGCACTGAGAACCTCACTAAGCAGCTTGACATTCACAACCGCCTTGCCAACAGGCGCGTAGTAGCCCCCGAGGTTTACGATGAGGTAAGTTTTAACGTACCATGAGATTGTTTCTGAATTGCAGGGCTAATTATCTCTGTAGATGTGCAATCTCCGTGAGCAGGCTCATCTGCAAAAGGACTACACTCCCAAGGGAAACCCCGAGACCATTTCATCTGGTGTTTACTACCTCACCGGTGTTGACAGCATGTTCCGCCGTTCCTATGCTATCAAGGAGTAAACTGCATGTTTGCCGTACGATATACCCCTCCACCACGACTTGTTTTCTGCCTCCGCTTGCATTTTTGAGCATTTGCAGAAGTCATTTTTATGATTCGGTTTAGACTCCAAAGGTTCTGTCATTTTGTTCTCGGCGCATGGAATTGAGACCCCACCTAGTAGCTTTGCTGAGTTATGGTGCTGTTTCAGAAACATTACGAGGGACGAGATGATGGAAAGGGAATTGGCATGCATATTGCACGGTTCTCCTTATGAGTGTCCATACAATATGCTGTTTTCATTTAGGTTCCTTAGTGAAGCAACTAGGCTATAGATATAATAAATACTACGAAGTTTTCCAAGATTGCTCAAGTTTACATTTGTGATTAGGAAAAAAGCGCAAAAGAACGACTAATAAGTATACCGACATGGGCACCAGCTTGACAAAACTGGGCCTCTGTTCCTTGGTGGACAAAGTTCCCGGGGTTACAAAATGACTTGTACTTCATGTAGTTAGCCGCACCGTTTGCCTGTGCTTTTTTTCAGTCTTGTATGGTTGCAAATACGACTTTAGAATATAGCAAAGATGATGCAAACATAAAGTTACTGTTATTGTGATGTTGTATTTAGATTGTAAAGATTTGAAAGCTGCTAACTTTCCGGCGCGTTATCGATTTTGGTAGGGTAAAGTCCCGGGAGTTTTGTCTACCAGGTGCCCCTCTTGGAAGCTGTTGTGTCATGCCACTATTACTTCTTTTTGGGGCATAGCTTGCGTTAAGTATTGATGGATGAATCGTACCTCGGCCCAAACCCCAAAGCTCCGCGTCGCGATTACCGCCCCGCCTGCCACCCCGGGCTTCCGACACCATCTGAGCTTTAAATACTTGCAATCTAAAGAAACCACTGACATTTTGGCATTACGCATTACGTCTGGAGAAATTCTATCACACTAAGACACTACTAACATTCATACTACATACTTTTCACCATGGGTAAAGAATTGGGACCCGGTGTCGGCTTCGAGTTTTCTCCAGTTGAAGTATCATGGCTCAAGCGCGATCTTTTGCTCTTCGCAAACAGCATCGGAGCCACATACCCAGATGAGCTGCATTTCCTCTATGTAAGTCAATTTAGCTGGAGATTTCTCTAGTCAATGCTACCGAGTTATTCAGAATATACATGTGTTGGATTACGAAAAGAACAAGCTCTAACAAACCATGCTAGGAACTTCATCCTTCCTTTGCCGCTTTCCCGACGTATCCCATCATTCTCCCATTCAAGCACACTGATCAGGAAGTCATTGATTTCTATGCGCGCAGTAACTCTGAGCCGATTGAGGGCGTGCCCAAGTTCGACACCAAGCACGTGCTTGACGGCGAGCGCAAGATGCAATTCTTCAAGCCGCTCCCTGTCAGCAGCGCAGGCCGCAAGTTCGAGGTGCGAAGCAAAGTGCTAGGCGTGTACGACAAGGGCAAGCCAGGTACTGTTGTAGAAACCGAGCAACGCCTTGTTGATGCCGAGACGGGAGAGACGTACACCAGAGCTGTTGGAAGCGGATTTTACGTCGGACAAGGAGGATGGGGTGGTCCCAAGGGTACGTAAACCTAGACCCCCCTCCCAACTGACTACCATCACTATCATCATCATGGGAAATGCAAGCACTAACAAATGAATCTTCATACAGGCCCCAAGGCCCCCAACTTCCCCCCTCCCTCCCGCAACCCCGACCACACGCACACGCACCAAACCACCATGGAAACAGCGCACCTCTACCGCCTAAACGGCGACTACAACCCCCTGCACGCAGACCCGGAGCCTGGCAAAAAAATGGGCTTCGGCGGCCCCATCATCCACGGCCTCTTCTCCTGGAACATGGCGGCCCATGCCATCCTCAGAATCTTTGGCGCCAGCAAGCCCGAGAACCTAAAGGAGTTCCAGGCGCGCTTTGCAGCCCCAGTCAAGCCGGCCGACAAGCTGATTGTGGATATGTGGCGGACGGGGGATAAGGACGCACAAGGATTCGAGGAGATAAGATTTATTGTCAAGGTCGAGGGGGGCAAGACAGTGCTGACGAATGGGCGCGCGCTGGTTAAAGTTGAGGGTGAGAATAAGGCAAAGTTGTAAGCGGGTATTATAAAAGTGTCGGGGGGAGGGGGAAGGGACGAAACAAAGTCTTGGGTTAAATAAAGTTGACTGATAAATGTAACAATGGAAGCGATGCATATTTGTGCAGTCTCGCATTCTTCTACAACTTATTCTTTTTTTGCATATTACAATACTCAATCATGTTTCTGCATCATGTTGAAGAGTGAAAAAAAAATATTTGCAGCGAGCAATCCCAAGTCATTAAACGCAAAAAGTATGATTGCAACTCGTCTAAAAAATGGTTTCGAGTACACATGTACATATTGACGAGTTAGGCTAGATCCTCCGCGCTGGTACTTACACCCTTATGTTTTCTCTAACTACTCTCTCTCTCTCTTACACAGTTTGATCCATCTGATAAGATGAAGAAGAAAGTACGTACTTCACGTGTCCACCCGTATTGAGACTAGCGTAAAAATCTGGCTCAACAATACCGGTTACCCGAGAGGCTAGGTAAAGCACGGAAAACGCAATACCAAGCGAAAATTGCATCAACTGCTAGGCTTTGCAAGAGCAAGCAAATCACATTCAAAGTATTATACCACCAAGAAAAACAAACAAAGACTAAGAGATGTCCTCTAATTTTCATTGTTCTTGCATTTTAGTTACAGATGTATGTATAAGCACCATTTCCATGCCCGCCTTTGTCTGTTCCATGACGATGCATATGAATTGACTTGTGACTTTAAAAATATATAAACGACTTGTACGAAAGCGAGAAGAAAAAACTCGACAAGTTTAATGCACGGCAATAGCAGGAAAAAAAAAGATAGTCGCATAAAGCCTTGGACTCGACACCACACCATTTAGCAAACAAAACTCCCATACACACGGAAAAAGCGAAAGCAATGCAACCGCGCAATGCAAATCCCATGCCCCGGCAAAAACGAAAGAAGGTGTACGTGTCGTAGTGCGTAGGTTTTCACTACCTATAAAATTCATTCTGGAAAATCCTGGAATCGTCGTGGATCATGGAGCGGACACGGTGGTCCCTCACTATATTGAGGTTACGCAGATTGTACCTCTGTAGCCACTGGTTGCGTTGGCAGCAGCAGCAGCAATTGATGGAGCATATTAATCAAAGACTTGAATGCAGTTCAAGTCTTTGTCGTAGGGAAAGCTCTGGGTATCCAAGAAGAGGCTCGTAGCAATATGACTGCCTTGAACTAATAAGAAAGAACAAGACAGCAACTTTTGTCGGGTCGTAGGAAGGAAGTGCTGTAGAAGAATCATAACGGTAGAAGAAAAAAAAAGGACGAGACCATTATCTGATGAAGCGCTCATCAGACGTCGAACTGGCCGTGGTTGAAGACATCGTGCTCGCTGCTGGCAACAACGCCAGACATCCTGTCGCCACGCCCTGCTGGCCTGTCCCAGTTGACATCATCCGTATCATCTTCGTCCATGCGTTCCATGCCTTCACTCCTGTGTCTATCATGGCCAAATTGTTGCTCCATTGTGCTCTGGTCTGTGAAAGTGAAACCGGCAAAGTTGGCTTGCATTGTCGGCGAGAGTGGCGTGGATGCCGAGTTGACACCTGAAGCCAGAGCGGCAGCGCGTGCATTCAAGGAACCAGCACCGTTGAGAGCGTTGGTGAACTCGGGATCAAAGTTGGAGACATCAAGCTCACCCTTGAGTTTGGGCTTGAACGGAGGCACAACATTTTTCTTGGACAGAGCGTCCCAGTCGATATCGGCAAAGAAGGGGTGATCCTTCAACTCTTCCGCATCGCGTGTGGCGCCAAGTCTGTGCTTGGGGTTCCTGTTGAGAAGTCCCTTGACGAAATTCCTACCTTCGGTGCTGAGGGCGTCGCGAGGGAACCTGACTTTTCCGAAAGCAATGTTCTTGTACATTTGCTGTGTGTCTTCTGCGTAGAATGGACTCCAGCCACAGCACATTTCGAAAACAAGCACACCGAGAGACCAGAAGTCAACCATCTTGGTGTAGCCGTGCTCGTCCAAGAGGACCTCAGGAGCAAGGTATTCGGTAGTACCACAGAACGTATTGGTCGTGGCGTTCTCGGTAAGGTTGGCCTTGGACAGACCAAAATCGCAGAGTGCAATATGGCCGTTTGCATCCAAAAGGATGTTCTCAGGCTTGAGGTCGCGGTACACAATGTTGTGTTCGTGCAGATGTTGCAGTGCGAGGATGAGCTCTGCAATGTAGAACTTGGCACGTGCTTCCTGGAAACGACCTTCTCTCTGGAGATGCCAGAAGAGCTCCCCTCCAGACATGTAGTCGGTTACAAAGTACAGATCTGAAGGGGTCTGGAAAGAGAATTTGAGACCGACAATGAAGGCCGAATCTGCCATAGCTGTCCGGACGAGGATGTTGCGTTCTCCAAGTGTGTGTGCTACTTCCTTCTTCTGTACAATAACCTTCTTTGAGAGGACCTTCATTGCGTAAATTCGGCGAGTGTCTCGCTTGCGGACTTGGAAGACTTGGCCAAACGTGCCCTTTCCAATGAGCTTGAGAATTTCAAAGTCTTCTGGGCCATAGTGCTTCTTTTCGACCTTCTGGAAATTGAGTTTCAAATGGATTTCTCCAGTGACAACGCCACCTTCGCCTTCTCGAGGCTCCAATGGGAACCAGCCATCGTAGGGCTCGTTGTATTCAACAAGATTTGGACAGAAGCGAACATGGCCGAGGAAAGCCTCGCCGTTGGCGCGATCGTAGACGGAGACGTCGACTTCTGCGTGATCTCCAACAACATCACTTGGAAGCTGTTAGGCTCGGAATGTTTACAAGTGAAAAAACGACGCCACTTACAAAATTGCTTCGTGTTCCCACTTGGGGGCGGTGACCTCCTCGAGAGAGCCATTGTCCCTAGGGTCTGAGCTATGGCCACTGTTGCTGCTCTGTCGGCTCTTCATTGGGATAGCCATTGGGTGGTTCATTTGGCTCTCTGTTCGCTTCATCTGCATGGGTGGGCGGCCCTTTTTCGAGTCATCGTGCCTGGGGCCATCTGAGATGTACTCGGCCCATTGGAATTGGCAGACGACATAGGGGTCTACACTGGGAACAAGGCCCCTTCCTTCAGAGATTGTGACTGCGAGCTTGCCTTTTGGGGCGACAACGGGAGCCGTCTTGCTTTCCTTGGACTGGTCTGACGCATTGGAGGTGCGAGACAGGTTCGAAGGCTGTGGCTTGGTTTCTTGCGAGCGCGTACGGGGAGTCTGAGGAGGGGTAGCCTGTTGCAACGGCGCAAAGTCGCCTTGCGTTAGCTTCTCCGTTTCACCAGCCAACTGTGAGGCTGAGGGAGTTCGGGAAGAGGCACTAGGGGTGGGGCTAGGCAGCATTTTGGGTTGGGCAGATGACTCTTTTTGCTCTTTTTCTTGGGGTTCCGACGGTGCAGGCTCGAGATGGTTCTGTGCAGAAGAAGTGACGGGTGTGGGGGAGGGGCTTGCCGCTGACAACGACTTCCGCGAGGGCATAAGAGAGTCACGAACCTGACCAAAGTAACTATGCAGAATACCCGGCAGTCGTTTGTCCGTAGGATCGGGCTTGGGTGTCGTGGCACCGGGTGGCGTGGAGCTGGTGGAGCCGATCTGGTCGTGTCCGTCGTCATTATTTTCGTTTGTTGCTCTGTGGTGAGTCAGCAATGGAGAAGACGACATGGTGTCGCATCAAGTTAAAGGGCGGTGAGTGCGTGTCGGGAGGGGGCGGGCGGGAGCAACGTGGTTGTGGTGGTGGTGTGAGAGGTGCGGACATGGCCACGAGTCGCTGGGCCGATGGCGAAGAAATAGTGTGCAACGTTGGACGGGGACGTTGCTCAGCTGCATATGACCAGCTCAGATGCTAGGCTTTTGCTAAGCGACGGGGACAGCTCTGGGGTGGCGGCCCAAAGGCTGCAACACCCACCACCAGCACGGCGAGGGCGACGCGGGCGAGATGGGGGGAAAAGGGCAAACAAGGGCGTGCTTACCGTGTCATTGCCTGCCTAAGCAGGTCGGCAGCGCCAGAGGACGTGGTGCCGGCGTGGGAGGCCATGGTGGGTGGTTGGCGGGTCGAGGGTGCAGTGCCGACGTTGAGGGTGGAGAGGGTCGGGACAAGACTGCTCGACTTGTTGCGGATGTGATGGCGGGGCTGGATGGTCTTTGTGGAAGAGTCGGAGGTGCGCGAGACTAGTCCGGGACGGTGCGAAAGGGCATCTACAGCTGGGCTCTTTGGGCGGATCCTGGAGGCGGCGGTAGAAGGGGTGGTTGTGGCGGAGGAGGAGGAGTGGTGGGAGGAGTTGTCGCGGAGGCTGGCGCGAGAGGGGCTGCTGCTGAAGGTATCGCTGGCCGGGGACGCTGAGAGCGAAGTGGGCGCCGGGTCCGCAAGCGGGCGTGAAGTCATAATAATCAATTGGAACCTGGCTCGCTGCTCCGAGCGGCCTTGGCCCTAAACAAGCGCGTTGCAACGACTGTGCGAAAACTCTGCTCTAGGACGTCTTGAACGGGGCAAGCAGTCCGAGTTTGTGCAGGCTCGAGCCACGCGGCGGTGTGTAAGGCGCGGGTAGGGTTGGGGAGACGTGAGCGCGGGTGCGTGTGCTGTGAGTGTGCCTTGGAAGAGCCTGGGGAGTGGGTTCGGGTACAGTTGGCAGGAGACAGGCTGCAGCATCGACACGGCCGTGTCAGAGAAGTAAGTGATTAGCGTGCGGGAGCAGCGATGCAGATGGGCGATTGATAGCAGCGGCAGAGGGCGCCGCAGACTGCAGGCGGTTGCAGATTGCGGATAGCAGACGAGCGGCGGAGGAATCAGTCGGGAGCAAGGCAATGGGTGCAACGCAGAAACAAGACACACACGGCCAGCTCCTTACTGACACGAGCCCATTGTTCACTTCACCGCGGGCACGTTATCCGACCGGTCAGCTAGGGAGGCTTGCTCGATTTGACATGCTACTCCTCTAGCCAGAGCACCGCCGCCGCCGCTGCTGCTGCTGCTGCTGCTGCTGCTATGCATTCACCTCGGGGCGCTGGTGGCGGAGCCTTGGCCACGAGCCTCTGCACCGCTCGCTGCACTGCTGCTGCACCACTGCCGCAACGCCTGCCGCTTGTCGTCAGCCCTTTGACCGCCACCCACCGCCCCAGTGCTGTCATCAGTCACTCACCACCCACTTGCACTGTCTGTCTGTCTGTCGGTCACTCAGTCTGCCTGTCGGTCGCCGAGGGACGCGCGCCGGCTGGAGCCAAACCATCCAACTAGCCGTGCCAGAGGCAGCAGCAGCTAACTCACAGCATCGGCACCAGTACTGCACACTACCAGCCATGTCGTCTGCGTATGGACATGACACGCCCGTCGTTGACCCGTTGGGGGTGCGTGGGCCAAGCAAGTGCAAGCTGCCGTGCGCTGACGTCGTCTCTCCACCGCACTGCGCCTTCACGGCCGGCAGCAGATTGCAGTCCCTGGCTAAGATCTCGGAGCAAAGCGATACACTGCCAATCACCGCCTCCACCTGCCCGTGTCTGGTGGAGCCCGAATACCCTCACATTTTCTGCTCAAGCCAGCCGCTGCGTCAAGCGCCCAGCCTGTCGTTTGAAGAAAAGACGCAGCCCACAGCCCGCAGCCCGCAGCCCGAAGCCCTCATGTGCCGCCCGATAGCGATAGCGATAGTGCCATGGATAGTCTCTGATAGACAGCCGACCATGGGACCGGTGTAGCCCATTTGCGCCCGGCAATCGGCAGCTTCACGTGAGCCCTGACTCGTATGCGCCCTCACTGCCACCCATGGTTGACCCTATGTGTGTGTGTGTGTATGTGTGACTCCTCCCCCGTGTGTCTATGTAGTAGCATGTATGTATGTACTACTAACCATGTACTACTAGTAATAATGTGGCGAGCACACTGGCTGGTGACAGCCCGCACGCCAGCCAATCAGCGTCATGGCCCTCCACGCCCTCGGCCAAACAGCCGGCCCGTGCAGGCGTATTGCATTTCTTAAGTCGAGCTGCACGGCACCCGGGCGCGCGCACGCCCACGAGCTCAACGCCACAGCAGACAATAGCACACTGCCCACTCGACCATCATGTCCGACCGCGAGTTTGGCGGCAACGACGATCTGTCGTTGCCAAAGGGTGAGTCTTCCTGACATGCGCCCGCCTCGCCCAAGCCCATCACTAACGCGCCCCCCAGCGACGGTGCAAAAGATTGTCCAAGACATCCTCGCCAGTGAACCAGGAATGACATTTGCCAAGGACTCGCGAGACCTGCTTATTGAGTGCTGCGTCGAGTTCATCACCCTCATCTCGTCCGAGGCCAACGAAATCGCCGAAAAGGACGCCAAGAAGACCATAGCCTGCGAGCATGTCAAGGCTGCTCTCGAGGAGCTCGACTTTGGCGACTACGTGCCCGCCATCCTCGACGTCGCACAAGACTACAAGAAGCAGCAACAGGTACGCGCTCGCCAGATACACACATACACATACACCTGCATCGTCGGAACTAACGTGGGGTAGAACCGCGAAAAGAAGCAGACAAAGATTGAGCAGAGTGGCATGACCGAGGAACAGCTTATTGCTGCCCAGGAGGAGCTTTTCAAGAATGCCACGAGCAAATTCAACGCACCCTCGCAGTAATCAGCTGCCTAATCTGACGCATCACTTGTACGAATAACGGACTCGGTTGTATGGCGTTTGGGCGGATATCGAGGGGTGCGGGCATGGCGTTTGGGGTAGACAAGGTAGGCTTTCAGCGTATGCAGGCCACCATTTTTCAAATGCATAAGCTAGGCGTTTTCCGGTGCGATTCGGTGTCGAGCGGGCTGCACCGCAGCCCAGAAACCACCATGACAAATTTACCATGATTCTGACCTATGCATCCATCTGCCCACTGCCCTCTTGAATGCGCGTCGACTAGTACTCTCTGCAACAGGACGAGCATTCGCGCGACCCTTTCGCGACCAATGACGTCGGGGCGCGTGGGCCGCCAAAACCCCGCGTAGCCCTGGCCAGTAGCGGCAGCCCACCTACACCTACCCTTCTCCCTAAGCCCTACTCCAACCCACACCTTCCCTGCGAACTGTTACCCTCCAACTGCACACCATGTCGGGTCTCGAGAATGCGCTTTTCAACCTCAAGGTGGGCATAGGCCGCCTGTCCCTGCTAGTAGTCAGCCGGCTGACCTTGACTAGTTCACAGCCAAGTCGCTGAACCGGCAGGCCCTCAAAGCCGGCAAGGAAGAGCAGGCCGAGAAGACCAAGTTGGAAAAGGTGTGCGCGCACAACAAGCCTTGCTCCTAGCCAGCAACATACTGACGCGCTCGCCAGGCTATGAAGCAGGGCCACAACGATATCGCACGCATCTACGCCGGAAACGCCATCCGCAAACAGAACGAGAAGCTCAACCTCCTGCAGCTCGCCTCCCGCGTCGATGCCGTCGCTGGCCGTGTACAAACAGCAGTTACTATGCGCCAAATCACGGGCAACATGATGAAGGTCAACCGAAGTCTGGATGTCGCCATGAAGTCGATGAGTCCTGAACGCGTATGTAGCCACTAGAGTCGCACCTGAGACCCCCCCCCCCCAACAACAACAACGCCCATGCTGACCCTGCCGTAGATTGCTGCAGTTATGGTTGATTTTGAGAAACAATTCGAGAACGTAGATTCCGCTACCGAACTCTACCAGGACATTACCTCGTCTGCCACGGCTGTTGGCACCCCACAGGAAGACGTCGACCGCCTCATGGCCCAGGCAGCAGACAAGGCAGGCGTTGACCTACAACAAGACCTGCAAGAGGCCACGCCGGCCAAGACCAAGGTGGGCCCTACCGAGCAGGAAGAGGAGGCTTTTACTGAGAGGCTGCGCGCGCTGAGAAACTGAACCATGGGCAATAACCAACTGAAATGGCTTCTTTGGTGTAAATGGAGTTAGGGTGTCACATATACAGAACGGTTTATGAACAACGCTACATTTGATTCGGATACAGCAAGCTGTCATCACTGCAATTAACATTATTCATCAAGTGGACCCTGATTCCCAGTCCCTGCATCCGTGTGCTCCCGCAAACACACGTCATTCGCACATGTTACCATTTCCTACGACGTACATGTATATTACTCCGCATGTTGTATTCTGTATGTAACCATACATTCGGCCCGATCCTCGACTTGGATAGGGAATTTCCGGAACGCAATCGGTCCATTTTGCGTGCAACCATCTCCTCATTTGCCAAGAAAATGCATACTGCGCAAGTGCTAAGAAAATATACAGTGCGCAACCACTGTAAGCCCCAGGCTTCGCCCGTCCCTATGCCCCCTGGGAGGCTTTCGTTAGGACGTAAAACCAATACTACTACTACTACTACTACTACTACTACTACTACTAAGAAAATATACAGAAATCATAAGCACTGCACCTGCTCGACTACCAATATACACAAGGCATGAATGGGAACTTGAGAGAATGATCACTACCAACATGTGGCCTAAGAAGTTCCTGCCTCCTTATCCTTCCTCCTCGACCGACCCTCGTCTTCAATCCTCTCCACCAACATATCAGCAAGGAACCACTTATCCTGACTCGCTTCACCCATGACCCTCCAACTAGATTCCAGGAACCTCTGCTTAAACAGCACCCACAGCTCCTCATCAGCCGCCTCTCCCGACCCCGGCCTGGGGTAGAAAGGGTCATTTTTGTAGAAGGCAGCGCAAGCCTGCTCAACGCCCGTTTCATCCACCTGAATCGGACGGCAGCAATCAAAGTCGAGAATCCACATGCAGTGAATGCCCAAGTAGTCCGACGCAAAGGTAGGTGTATGGTCTGCGCGTGCAGAAGCCAGCACAAACTCAACATCGTTTGCATCGATCCTCGCACCCCAGTACATCAGCGCAAGCGCTTCTGCCATGGCACCAGCGTACGCCTGGACGTCCAGCCCCAGCACCTCCATCTGGTCAAGATGCAGCGGCACGTTGCGCAGACTGAAGCGTTGGAACCGCGATTGGCTCGCGCCTTCTTGCCTGTGGCAGCGGCGGCGGCGGCGGCGCCCCAGGTACGGTCGAATCAGACATGCGTCGTCATCTGGGTTATTCTTGATAAAGTCGCACAACGGAGTGTTGCCTGCGCAGAAGAGGTCGACGATCTTGTTGCTGATGGACCGGGGTACTTTGGGGATGCGCTCGGATTGTAGGGCTCTGCATGCTGAGTAGCCTCGAGGGAACTGGACTAGGTTCGAGTGCCACCAGGGGTCTGTGGCTTGGATTAGACGGTGGCATTGCGGTATGCAGAGCGGGGTTGAGGGAGCGTGTTGCTGCGCGCTCTCGACTACTTTAACGTGCATGTTGTAGTCATTTGTGACTGAGCGTCCCGGTCCGCCATCTTCGCGCTTGATGGCGGTTTGGGGGGTGGTGCTTTCGAGAGTCCAGACACTGCCGCAGAAGCCTTTGCCGATGCAGCGGTAGCGGTCGTTGGTGTGTTGCATAGTTTGAATGCAGCGTTTGTCAAGTTGGAAATTTGAGTGTATTTGGGGGATTGTTTGTGTGATGGGGTTTTGTGTTTACGTAGACAATAGAGAGGCTTGCGTTTGCGGTTCTCAACTGTTTGTGCCGTGGTACTGTTAGTCGTTTGCTCTGCGTATTTACCAATGACGTCTTTGCTATTGCAAGCTGTAGGTGAAAGACATGACTCAAAACTCACCGTATAACCGCAAGCTAGTCAACCGTATGTATTTGGAGCATATTAGGTATTGGGTGAGATTTATGACAAGTATGACATGGTAAGCAGGTTCGCCGGCAGTTGATGGGAGTCGTGGCCTAGAACTGCAAGGCACTGCGGTTTGCATGTATATTCAGACGGTCATCTCTGTTATGGGCTGGGCCTTTCAGGATACTGTTAGGAGCCAAAGGTTATTGTATTGCTTAGGTCTATATAAAGTAGCGAAGGTCTAGTGTCTACTTATAGTGTCCGTTCTCTTACTAAGCTAAAATAGGGTAGGTATATAACCTACCCCATAACAATCTCTATAAGATACACTTTTGGAGAATGTCGAAGATATATCGAGCCAATATGCGTTTTGATTTCAAGAATCACTTGCAAAAGCTTTGCGTAAGCTCGACCGTACTCAAGCAAATACAATCCCGAGACTCACGTTTCAGCTTCACGTTGGATATGGCCTACCCACCAAGCATCTTCTTCTCACCACAGTCTAACTCGCTGTCTTGAGCTGTGAGCTTTAAACTGACCATCTCTCTCTCAGACACCCAAACACCTTCACCTCGATACGCAACCAGTGTGAATCCTCTGCAATTAAACTTTCTCATGTAGTACCCTCACCAATACCCAGAAAAGACACGTATATATTGAACCGAGTAGACAAGGTCCCTGTGTGGCCTTGTACATGTAAAGACTGGCTAAGAAAGATCAATGGAACCGGGGTGTATCTCCTCTATCAAAACATGATGTGTGGATTCCGTCATCAAAAAAAGCTACCTAATCACTACCCTTTCTTGTTTCTCCTTTACACACGTAACTTTCTCCCCCATACCGCTTTCCTCGCCTTCGCCTTTGCCCTCCCCTGTCGCAGCCCAAAAACCACCTACACATTATGTGCGCCAGAAAAAAAAATCAATTTGATCTGGCTAGATGAAATGAACTCGGAAAACCTCTTACCATTAGTTCATCAGGCGACTCGCAGGGACTTATACGGTTGCAATTTTCTATTGTACAGAATAGTTGTGGTTTGGGTAATGAGTAGTAGGGGAGATTTGGTACCGAGTTGTTGCTATGACATTTCCGCGGTTGATGAGAGAGCGTGTAGATTAAATGGGGTAGGAATTTTCCTTTCACAGGTTGAACAAAGGAAGAGTCAGAGTACGAAGATGATAATTGGACAGAAATTGATAATAGATATTGTTGGTCTTTTATAATAACCGAACTTTATCTTTTTTTTCCCAACCCGATTAGAGCGTATGAATTTTTTTTATGATAATACGTGGGAGCCATACGACAAGCCCTGACTGATTTTATGATGATGATGATGATGATGAAAATTCTTGTACATTTCCAGGAAGAAACTACGGGTTGGTTTCCACTTTTACTCAGCTTACATATTACAATCAAGTCGATGAACAGGCTTCGTGTCCAAGATCCAAACACGTCAACACCCATTCTCTCCAAAACTAGCAACGTAAGTTTAGTCTTTTGATTTACTCATGTGCTCATGAGACGGGCGACGCCATTACATACCATATAAAGAAGTGACACGCATACACACTGCTGCGTAGTTGGAAGGAATATGGTCGATATGGGTTGTATGCGTACGGCGACAGCACAGTTCACAATGCATCGGAAGTAAGAAGCCAAATGTAGGAAATTGAATTTATGGAATAAAATATTTATAGGGGATCCTAGATCAGCAGTTATTAACTAAAAAAATAGCAAGACATTAAAGATACTATGTTCCCTTATTGCTACCGACTATCTTTCCAAGATATATAAGTATCTTGATTTATTCGACACAGAGAGTTGATATAACGTTCTAGGGTATTTTAGAAGAAAAAAAGGGGGGAATTTGAATGATGATTTGCATCGCCAGAGGTCTTGACGTGATTCAAAGTGAAGTTGACATTGACATGAGATGATGTGCCCAAGAGATTGAATACTTACCACGGTTGCGCGAGAATCGCTAACCAAACTTCCTGCAACTTACAAGCCCGGTAACTCCTATCAATTATCGAGCACCGTAATGCGTACACGTCCATTATCTTGCCAGCAGCTACCATATGTGTAGCACAATGTGGATAAGACGGTGCACAGACCACATCGCTTATCGATTCGCACGCGGTGATCGAAAAATACTTCGAGAGTGAAATTCCGACCATTTATACGTTTCCTGTACATTTTACGTGAGTATTAACAGTCGCAAGTTTGTCGTTGTCGCTGACATTGTCCTAAAGCCGACTAAAAAACTCGCAAATCTTTGCCAAAATGGAGAACGAACGCGGAGAACTCGTAGATCTGTAAATAATCCTTGGCCCTGTGAAAAGTAACCAAGACTGGACATAAGTAAACTGATGGTTCCGCAGCTACATCCCACGCAAGTGCGACGCCACCAACCGTATCATCCGCCCCAAGGATCACGCCTCTGTTCAGATTGCCATTGCCAATGTTACAGCCGAAGGTCGCGCGATTCCCGGAGACAACAAGTCGTTTGCCCTCGCTGGCTTCGTCCGCGCAATGGGTGAGGCGGATGATTCGTTGAACCGCCTGGCTCAACAGAGTGGATATCTGGAAAAGGTGTGGAGCGCTGTCAAATAAAGGAAAGAAGAAAAAAAGTAGAAGAAGGCGAAGAAAACAGATGGCGAAAAATGGTGGAGAAATGTCACGATATGATCGAAACGAGGATAGATGGTATTTTGGGCTCCCGGCGCACAGGATCGCGAAGCAAGTCAGCTACTAGAGAGCATAAAAAGACTAGACAGCGTCCAGGTCTTCCAGGCGACTCTGCAAAAATGCAGACTGGAATTTACTTGTTAAGTTCGAGATTCTGAGAGGCTCCACCCGCTTCGTGCGAGGCTTTCTGATTCCAACTCTTTTTTTTTAGCTTGCGGTGTATCCCTTACATGTATGTCCGAAATCTCTTGACATGGTATTATGTTGAGGTATATGCTTTTCCCATGGGAGCTGCTTGTGTTGATTATGCGGGGTTGTAAAGGGTCATTATTGCTTTGGATAAATATGCAAGTCCGGAATTCTGTGCAGTGTTCAGTGCTTCTCTAGAGTAGTGCTGCATACATGGCTGTACGCGTATTGGGCGAATCGGCAGTCTGGCTCTTGCATGTCCGAGCGGGTTCCTGATTGAGGAAATGGGCAGCCGCTGATGTGTTCGGGCTGATGTGTGTGTGTGTGTGGCATATTTTCCGCATGACTGTGGCGAGTGTTGAGAGACAATTGGCTATGGTTAACGCAAATAACTTGCATGTGGAATGGGCAAAGTGGACCCATGAAACGAGGAACTTGGCCCTGCTGATCACAACAAGTCTATCATGAGAACTAGTAAATGCCAATGGGGAGGTTGGGTCGCGGAGATGTGGAGAGATCGCCTGTTGGTTCGGAAACAGCTATGCGTATTCTACGACCTGGAGGCCCAGACTACTGGCTCCTACCAGGCCATCGGGAGAGAAGCCGGTTGTAGTAAAGTGCGCGTCTTACTGCAGGAGACTAGCGAGCGCAACGGTAAGCGCGACGCCTGAAGATAGAGAATGCATCGACATGGCAGCTCCTCGGTAGCACATGACCCAGGATGCAAACCTAGAAGCGAATAGTTTTGCGTAATATCCAAGGGCAAACCTGATACACTGGTCTTCGTTCGCAGCTAGGGCTCCTAGGCTGTTGGCTGATAATGGTGGACGGCAGAGGGTGGACGGGCCGCCTGTCGTCGTGATTCAACTCGCGGAACATTACACCGAGGATTGGAATATAGGCGTCGGCGGCACCTGTTCCGTCCGGGGTAATGGATGGCTGCCGTCGCAGACGGACGCACTACGAAGAACAGCTTGGTGTGTTCGGTTGCGAGCTAGGGTGGCTTTGGGTGGCGTACTGTCAAGCCTGACGACAGAGGAGGGGGCAATGGGGTAGTGCCATGTGCGATGGAGTGAAGGTACATGCGTCCGTCTGTACCGCAGCACTTGGCCGTCTCCATGGCGAGCACAGGAGTCTTTTGTAGCGGTGGTTACCTGGGCTGCGGTGGGCCCGCCAGTGCTGGTCGGCAGGGTCATGCGCGGTGTCGAAATTGCTCTGCTGCTGGAGGAGGAGAAGGTCCGGGGACAGAGTGTGGGCAGCCCCTGCGAAACAAGCTTCAGCGGGGCCGGATAAATTCAGTCGTGGTGCGGGGATGGGGTAGCGTGGGTAGCGTTGGCTGGGGCTCCGCGACCGGGGCTGTGATAGGCGGGGCTGGGCCAACACGACGGCTAAGGCCACAAGGAATCAGCCAACGTCGGGCCCCCAATCTGCATCTGGACTCTCCCGGTGGGTTGAAGGCGGCTAACCAAAGCATTGCCAAGTTGCAACGGGATGCGAATAAGCTCGTCAAGTTCGAATCACACGCGAGTGGGCGTTGGCGTCGGGCCAGTTCGATAGCCACTTTGCTCTGATTGATGGAATCTGCTCTGCAAACCACTGACCCCAAGATGCCGGCCTGTCTCGCTGCGGGACAGCTGGGGCCCTTGCTCTTGGTCTCTTTATTTAAAAGTGCTACCATCGCAGTGGTCATCCTCTTTTGCTTCCCATTACCTGCCAGCCTCTCTCGTACCGCACACTCTGCTTGTGTCGGTTCCCACTTGCAAGCATGGGTGACAACATCGACAGCAAGGCGTATGGCGCCGACACGCACATCGAGAAGGCCATGTCGAACCTCGAGATCGACGAGAAGTCGACGGCTGCCCAGAACAAGGCTGCTGCCATCGAGGCTGAAAATGTCGAGCACAACATGACTGTGCCACAGGCAGTCAAGGAATACCCCATGGCTGCCTTTTGGGCCTTTGTCATGTCTTGCACTATTGTCAGTCGCCTCTTCCCCCCCGCCCAGTTGGCATGTCCAGAAAAAAGAGAGAGAAATCCAGCTAACGGGACTTGTAGATTATGGAATCCTACTGTGTTTTCTTGATGGGAAACTTCATCGCCCTTCCTGCATTTGCCAATGACTATGGTAGATTCAGCCCCGTCGACAACAAGAAGATCATCGTAGCCAGCTGGCAGTCTGCTCTTCAAATGGGTGGACCCGTGGGCGCAATCATCGGTGTCTGCTTGGCTGGTCCCCTTACCAGCCGCATTGGATATCGCTGGGCCACTATTTCCGCACTCATGGTGTTGAACGCCTTCATCTTCATCTTCTACTTCGCCAACTCGCTTCCCGTCATGTTCGTCGCCCAGCTTCTCGAGGGTATTCCATGGGGTGTCTTCATCGCCAACTCCCCGGCATACTGCAGTGAGATTACGCCAATTCAACTCCGAGCTCCTGCTACTCAGATGTTGCAAATGTTCTGGGCTATCGGTTCCATCATCGTCACTGGTGTCACCTATCACTACAACACAATGGAAAGCGCAAAGGCGTACAGGTATGTATCTCGATACTTTCCGTCCCACTATTTCAACTAACTGAGCTCCCAGAATCCCTATTGCCCTCCAATGGATGTTCCCCACCCCTCTTGCCATTCTCATCTTCCTGGCTCCAGAGTCTCCCTGGTGGTTGACCCGCAAGGGACGTTATGAAGAGGCCGAGAAAGCAGTTGGACGCTTGGGACGCAAGACCAAGCTCAACCTCAAGGAGGCCGTTGCTATGATGCGTCGTACTATTGAACTTGAGAAGTCAGTCAAGGATCCCAGCTACCTGGAGCTCTTCCGAGGCGTCGACCGATACCGTACCCTCATTGTCTGCGGTGTTTACGCGGCACAGAACCTTACTGGTAACCTTATCGCCAACCAGGCCGTGTACTTCTTTGAGCGTAAGTTTCCATTACCAAGATACTGGAAATCTAGAGCCATGATGCTAATACTTTCACAGAGGCTGGCATGAGCACCGACACTGCGTTTGCCCTCGGTCTGATCACATCCGCTCTCCAGATGATCTTCGTCATGTTGTCTTGGATTCTGACCTCGTATCTCGGTCGTCGTACCATCTACGTGTGGGGTTCTCTCATCAACGTCGGCTTCCTCGTAGCCCTCGGTATTGCAGCCTCCGTTAGCACACCAACTGCGGCTGTTGCGAAGGCGGCTTCTCTCGCACAAGCTTCTCTCGGTCTCATCGTCTCCGTTCTCTTCACCCTGGGACCGGCGCCTGCTTCTTGGGTCATCATCGGAGAAACATCTGCTATTCGTCTTCGACCCCTGACCACCGGTATTGGACGTGGTTGCTACTATGCAATCAACATTCCTTGCATTTTCCTTTCCAGCTACATGCTTAACCCTGATGTAAGATTTGGCCCATTTTTGAGCTTTGCGTGAATAGTCACTAACTCAGTACAGGAAGCAAACCTTGGTGGCAAGTGCGGTTACGTCTGGGGTGGCACTGGTTTCGTCTGCTTCGTTCTCGCGTACTTCTTCCTGCCTGAGATGAAGGGCCGATCCTACCGCGAAATCGATATTCTGTTCCACCGCAAGGTTCCGGCTCGCCAATGGTCAAAGACTGTCGTCGACGCCACGGACGACGAGTAAACGGCGTCTGTTCAGGAGACCGAGGCATGATGTGGATAATAGTAAAGTGTTGATATGTCATCAGTCATGTCCCTTGGTACGATATTTAAATAGTCACTGGGTTAGACTAAATGCTATGACCCCTATCTCGAAAATAATTAATGATGCAAATATTTCCCGTGAGCTATAAATCCACATCTGAATGATGACTTGAGTCCAGTCAGTAATGACTTCGCAACCATGGAGCCATGTTCAGGCCTGTCAGCAAACTCGCACTACGGATACATTTTAATTAAGCTAAGCTATTTTAAATGTAGCTTGCCGTTCAACCGATCGCGGGACGGATCTATTCTGGGAGCGGACGATAGAGTTCATAACGAAACAGATCCTTAATCTACCCATGTGATGACCTCTGAGCCTGGTCCTCAAGCCAACCAATCAGGCCTACATCAAGCCTACAGGTAAATTCAGCTAGACTACAGTACCCAGCATGACAGTTTGATGACAGTTCCGTTCAACCATAGAAGCCATAACTTACTCGCAAGGTCCTTGGCATTGACACAGATGCTATCTCCATACGCAGGTAGCTCTAGGAAAAGGCTCCTTTTGCTTGCAATAAGCTCGTGGATCTATCCAACCTATTTCCACAAGCCCGGGTCTTGGAAAGCGGGGGAGATTGCGTGTACCCGTGGTAATGGTACTCGTGTAATACTGGGCTAGAGATCTGATAGGTGGGTACTGATCTGATCGTGAGGGTCTAGGGACCGTGCTCAAGGACTATCCGCCGAGATCCGCAATGACTTTAGTCGTTGTTGGAGCATGGCTAGATGCTACGCACAACGAGTATCTAATGGGCCTGTGAGTTTGGGCATGGTGATGATGGTATTTGTTGCGAATGATTCATCATAGTTGATGTGAGGGAGGGAAGGATAATGGGGCAGACGAAGCTCACTGAATGCTGAATTGCCATCTCTGAGTCAGACAAATATCTTCTAGGCAATGTTTGCTGCATGACTAAAGACTCCACCTGTTTTCTTTGGTTCGGTCTTACCTATACTATTGTCCAAACTGCGCACAAAAGCGGTTTAGCGCAAGTACCTTGGTAACCTAGTTCGACAATGTCACCTCTTGCCTTGCTTCATTGTATCTGTTAGCTATCAGCTAGGATTCGTTTTCTTTCTCGAAAAAAAGAGCGAAAACTCCCCGAGAGTGCATTGGCAGTGTCTTCTGGTCAACACAATATGCGTTCATGAATTGAAGACATTCTTGCTCTGTCACCAGAGCCAAGAACAGATTCGAGTTAGTTCCGATGATTGTTGTTGAAACCTCAATTCTGTCTTGAATACTATGGTGAGTCATTTTCTGCTAGTCACTGGTTTTCGCAGTACTGATTTTTCGTAGCTTTTCTAGTCATATCATTGCATGTCTCTCGAGATATCGATGGGATCGTAAACAAAACCCTATTTGAGCACTTTGAATCAATCTCTACTTCAAAGGAGTGGCGAAAAAAGAGTGATGTTATGATACCCAACGCAAGCTCGCAAAGGTGGAGAAACAGCAGTTAATGAGCTCACTTAGCGATGTCCCATTGCCCAGACAACGGCCCAAAAGAAACCAGGTTTTTCTTTCTTCTCGACCGAGCTGGAATCATATGGTATTGAGAATTTCCAAGGGCCGGCCAGTGTCACTAGCTACCGACCGATTTCGAGTTAGAAGCGTTATCCGTACTTGAAGTCAAAGGTCTCAATTCAATACTCAGATGTACCAGGAGAGGGAACGCCGACCGGTAGACGACAATGTCGGCGACTACATTCTAGATCCACGGAAACTGATGGAAGTTATCATGAAAATTACGCTCCTCGAGACATTTCCTGTTCCTACATGCACGGTCAGAACTCGTGGTTGCAGCTGTGAAGAAAGCAAACATATTCACGTGGATCGACTGGGCAACGCATGCATAAAGACTCCGCGGAAGGAAGAAGAGATTCTCTACCAACGCCTGACTTCGCGATTTCGCAATTGCCTATTAGTATTAGGCATACGACACGGTGCCCAGATTGCGATCGGAGGGTATACCCGATGTGTGCAGCCATGACCGACGGAAATTGACAATAACAGAGGATGTTGGGAGGGGCGAGGGCTCCACACAAAACAACCCTGCATGTTTTCGGGGCGTGCAACCGGACCAGGAACAGTATGACTATGCACCTGGTTTTGCACGACGCGCCATCCACGTCAAGCAGCCCTCAGGTACACATGATGATGTGTATCAGTCACAAAAGCTTGGTCAGCTCAAACCTGGCATTGCACCTGTACCACACACGGCGATGAAAACACAGCTCCAGCCCCAGCACCCCACACGCGCTAAGATGCTACAATACGTCTTCCAGCCATGAATCAGCCCCATATTGCCACCAGGACAACCACCAAGCGGCACTTGGCAAGCTTGGCAGTCCGCCGCGCTGAAGCTTACCAAGGCCTCTTATCACGTCTTGACACGGCTCGTGTGCTTGTTTACTGGGTCCGCTCACAGCGGCTATTGGTGGATGAAGGGTCAGCCTCGTGTGCGGATGCGCCCACTTGGCTGGATGTAGCAGGTCGCAAAGAGCTTTGTATGTGGGTTTGATTGTAAGCTGCATTTCAGGCATACAGTGATGTTGGTAGGAGCGATATTTCCGGTCTCTGGGCCCATTTGCAGCTACTACGAGCTGCAGGTGGTATGGATTTAGGTAAGCTAGTAAATAGCATAAATTGCACAGCATGCCCTGCCAATTTGGAAACGACACTCCCTTTGCAAAAAAGCAGGCAATAGTCGCAATGGCATATCTGAAGTCAATCGCAGCACTTGCTGCATGTGCTGTAGCGGTTGAGGCAGCAGCCCTTCATCCTCGCACTAACAAGACGCTGGTTGATTCGGTACGAGTATACATACATTCATTTCCCGAGTTGCTCTAACACGCATTATAGCAATCGCTCCGTGATACGATTGACATTGACAACTTGTATGCCAAAGCGGAGATCCTTCAGGAGATTGCATACAACACACCGGGAAAGAACCGTGTGATTGGTAGCCAGGGCCATGAGGATACTGTAGAATACATCAAGGGCCAGCTCGAGGCATTCCCCGACTACTACGATGTGTACACTCAGGATGTGCCTCTCTCAATCGGAACCACTGCCACGCTCCGTGCAAACAACAAGACGATTGAGGCTTTTGCAGTAACTCTGGCTCCGGGTGGCAATGTAACTGGACCGCTCGTTGCTATTCCCAACTTGGGTTGTGAAGAGGTAGGTTCATGTTTTCGACTATATATACCCAAAGAAGATATCAGGAAGCAAGACTAACATGGAAAAGGCGGATTTCCCAGAATCTCTCGAGGGCTCTGTAGCTCTGATCAAGCGTGGTACGTGCTCGTACGGCGAGAAGGTGCAGATTGCTGCTGCCAAAGGAGCCTTGGGTGTAGTGGCATGGAACAATGCCGAGGGCACTCTTGAGGGCTACTCGCTCCAAGTCTTGTATCCCAAGGGCAAGTTTGTCCCTGTAGCCGGCATCACCATGGGCCAAGGAGAAGCGCTTCTTGCGCAGCTCAACGCTGGTGTCAAGATCAATGTCGACATGTCAACAGACGCCAAGGTGTTCAACACTCGCAACGTGATTGCGGAGACAAAGGCTGGCGACCACGACAACGTGATCCACGTCAGCGGCCATTCTGACTCGGTCACTGCTGGCCCAGGCATCAACGACAATGGATCGGGCACTATTTCCATTCTCGAGATTGCTATTCAACTGACCAACTTTACCGTCAACAACGCCGTGCGCTTCAGCTGGTGGACAGCAGAGGAGGCCGGTCTTCTCGGAGCCGAGTACTACGTGCACGAGCTGCCCCAAGCTGAGAAGGACAAGATCCGTCTTTTGCTCGACTTTGACATGATGGCCTCACCCAACTTTGCCTACCAAATCTATGACGGTGATGGTTCGGCATTCAACCTGACTGGGCCGGTTGGCTCAGCCGAGGCTGAGCACGAGTTTGCCGCCTACTTTGACAGCATTGGCCTCAACCACACTGAGATTGAATTCGACGGCCGGTCAGACTACGGCCCGTTCCTTGAGGCTGGCATCGCTTCTGGTGGCATTGCCGGTGGAGCCGAGGGTATCAAGACAGAAGAGGAGGCGGCCATGTTTGGCGGAGGCGCCGGTGTTCCTTACGACGTCAACTACCACGAGGATGGCGATACCGTCAACAACTTGAACCTCGAGGCGTGGATCGAGTTCACAAGGGCTATTGCGCACATGACGGCCAAGTATGCTGTGTCGTGGGACAGCATCCCGCCAAGGAACGCGACGGCTGCGCAGAAGCGGTCAGAGAGGTATGCCGAGTTTAAGCAGGCGTTCCAGAAGACCAAGAGGTACCAGAGGTGGGTATAGATTGGGCTCGATCCCGAGGCTTTTGAGTGGATGTGAGCTTAGACACGACTTTAATGGTGAATATCAAAGAAATCTTCAAGGCAATGTTTGTGCAAGCAAAAGTGGATGAATGTGAGAAAACGAGTTTGTGGAATTGCACGCATGTCATTTGCCGTTTTACAAGATGGACGGTGGCTTTACTCTTCGTCGTCATCGTCAACTACGGGTACAGGCTCGTCCTTGCCGGTCTTGTTGACTTTGCGGTCCTTGTCAGCACCAGCAGGCTTGGCGTCCTTTGCTTTCTTCTTGTCGTCCTCGTCCTCGTCGTCCTCATCGTCGACGTCGTCAGAAGCGGCATCCTCGTCGTCTTCGGCGCTCAGCTCGGCCTCTTCCTCCTCGCTCTCATCCCCGTCCTCGTCTTTGCTTTTGGCTTTGGTAGTGCGCTTGGCCTTTTTCTTTGGCGCTATGAAAAAGCAAAAAAAGTAAGAGAGAGTTGCGGAGAAGGGGATAGGGACCACCAAGGGTTTACTCAAGATGACTTACGTGGCTCTTCCTCGTCCGAGTCGTCTGAATCAAAGTTTGAGCCTTCAGACTCTGCGTATCTGGATGGCCGGGTCAGTCTTGCTGCAGGTGTCGCATGCGCGCGCAAAGGGCATTGTTTGGATGAATGGGGCCAGAGGCGCCATGGTAGCTATGTCAGGTGTAGAGGTAGAGTGGAAGTGAGCTGATTGCTGCTGGAGGGAGGAAGGGGCCGGCTGTTGCTGACCCCAGGGCTGCGACTGCCTTTGGAGGCATGCGCAGCGACCAGACGGCGTAGCGGTACAAACTCAAAACATCAATTCAAGGATGCGCACACAGGCGATGGCAATGAAGCCAAAACCACCGGGTTGCGACGTGGTGGGTAGAGGCATGACGTCAAGAAAGCGTCGACTTACTCTTCTTCTTCGTCGCTCTCGTCGCTGGGGAGGGCCACGAGCTCCTCGTCGTCGTTCTTCCTCTTCCTGGTAGTCATGGCGCCGGACTAGTCTGTGAAAACAGGAAAAAGAGCTGGTAGGTCGCGGGATAGTGGGACAGAAGTAAAAGAGGTTCAAAGACGGAGCAAGTTTGGGTGGCAGCAGGGAAAGAAAGCTATGGAGGTGAGCCTGGGGGCGGGGACCCAGGGCAACACAGACGGGGGCGCGGATGAAATAGCTGGCTGGGTACTCGGCCACGACGCACACACACACAGACACGCCCACACCCACACCTACGCAAGCCGCGCCCCCTTTGCTTGCCCAAGAAGGAGGCTGGGAAGCGCAGGGCAGGGCAGGCCGGGGGACTGCAGGCCTCTTTGCTCCATCGCCCAGCTCGGCCGCTTCGGGTAGAGGGCGAGGAGCCAATCATGACCTGTGCCGTCATCACCTGCGTTCCGAGCCCGCCATGGACGACACCCAGCCGGTTGCTGCAGGTACCGCGTCCGAGGAGCGTTGGGAGACAGGCTGTTGTTAGGCCTGTCAGTGGCACGATGAGGTGCTCTTCGCTCTGGGCGCAGGTGAGAGTAAGCAGTGTACTTGTCAATGCCGTCTGTCCTGTGGCCATGTACCGAGTATGTGAGCGTGCGGCATGGCGACTGAGCGATATACCTGGGTGCTCAAGCCAATGCTCTCGCTCGCTGCACGACGGCAATTTGAACAGTCCAGCGAGACGCCAAGATACGCCAGAAGATATGCGACCTGTCACCTACAAACATCGTGGCCGTCCACACAGACGAAGCCGTCGTCGAGATTGCAGCCGTTGGTCCGCATCCAAGTCGGCATGTTCGCAGCTCGAGGTGTAGCGTTCGTGGCCAAAACAGGTAATGAGGCCCCACCCAAGCGCACCAATCACCGCCTGCTCTGCCCCGCCTGCAGTACCGCGTCTTATTCGCGCGCCATCTCGACTGTCCTTCTACTATTTCCCCGACCAAATCTCGACTGCCTGTTCCCCACGCTCGTTTGACACCACCACACCACCACAGAACTGCGCTCGCCATGTCCGCGCCCCAGATCGCGAGGCCGGGCAGGGCCCCGCGCCTCTCGAGCCTGAACAAACCCGATTCCTACCAGTACCAGTCCTCCGCAACAAAACGAAGAGCCGCCGGCCCGCCCCAGCCTGTAAAACCCACCCAGCGCACCTACACCTGCTGCGAGGCACCCCTGATCAATTCCGCCGATGGTACCGTCATGTGCTACAACTGCGGAAAAGTCCACGACGAGAGCCAAATTGTTTCCGAAGTCACTTTTGGCGAAACTTCGGGCGGAGCGGCCATCGTCGAGGGTGGCTTCATCCACGCCAACCAGCGACACGCCAACTCCATGGGCGGTACCATGCGGGGTCTCGGTGGCATGGAAAGTAGGGAGCATGCTGCCATGAACGGCAAGAACGCAATCCAGGCCCTGGGCGCTTCACTCAACCAGCGCGAGGCAGTCATAGAACAGGCTTTTAGTTGGTACAAGCTCGCCATGAACCACAGGTTCATCCAGGGTCGCCGCATGAGGAACGTCGCCGCAGTCGCCATCTACATGGCAGCCCGTAGGCAGCCTGAGAATACGCTCATGCTTATCGACTTGGCAGAGAAGATTCAAACAAACGTCTGGGCCTTGGGTGATACATACAAGCAGTTTTTGGAAATGCTCAAAGAGGAGGATCCTGCTCAGCTCGTTGGTAGCAAGGCTGTGCAGGAGATTGAGCCTTTGATGTTGAAGTACTGCCGCAAACTCGAGTTTGGAGACGATTCTCATAGGGTAGCTGATGATGCCTGCAAGGTCTTGAAGCGTATGAATCGCGACTGGATGGTCCAAGGCCGCCAGCCCGCTGGATTGTGTGGTGCTTGTATTATCATTGCTGCTCGCATGAACAACTTTCGTCGCACTATCCGTGAGGTTGTCTATGTTGTCAAGGTCGCCGATTCCACCATTACTTCCCGTTTGTACGAATACAAGAGGACACAGAGTGCAGCTTTAACGGTCAATCAATTCCGAGAGTTTGCGCCAAGACTAAAAGTCAAGGCTCAACCGCCTGCCATCTGGAGGCGTGCAGAAAAGGAGGAGCGACAGGCGAAGAAAAGGAGGCAGCTTCAAGGACTCGATGACACTGCAGCATCTCTAGAGAACGATCCAGGAAGTGGTCAAGTAGAGACTGGTACTTCTACAGCACCAACGCGGACAAGCAAGAGACGAAAGTCCAATGATGGTTCGTCACAACCAGTTTCTACTCAAAGCGGAGACACAAGCACCCAAGGAAGCGGCATACCTGCAGAGGTCGAGGCTTTTGATGGCAATGCCGACGCAATGATCGATAGTGTTGCCACTGCGCTTGAGGAAGTTGAGGCAGGCGAGACTACCGACCCAGACTTTGTCATGCCCAAGAAACGCGGTCGTCCCCCTAAGAAGCGAGTCCCCATCGTCATTCCCGAAGAAGATCTTGAAATCGAGCAAGACATCGAAGAAGAGCTCACAAGTGCCATCAAAGACTGGGAGGGTATCTTCAAGGAATTCGCCAACAACGAAGACCATGATCTCCTCCGACGCTCCGGCTGGACCGCCGCCGAAATGGCACGCGCCGCCCAAGATCAACGCGACATCCCCGTCAACACGGACCCTGAAATCGGCGAAGAGGAATTCGAAGACGACCCAGACGTCGCCACGTGCATCCTCGGCCCCGAAGAAGTCCGCCGCAAAGAAGCCATCTGGATCACGGAAAACGAAGAATGGCTCCGCGCCCAGCAAGAAAAGATGCTCCTCGCAGAACTCGAGGCCGCAGAAGACAAGCCCAGAAAGCCCAAACAGAAACGCAAACACCACCAGATGGGCGACGGCAGCGTCCTCGAAGGCCAGCCCGCCACCAGCGCTGCAGATGCCGCGCACAAGATGCTCAAGAAACGCGCGAACAAGGCGTTTAGCAACCACATCAATTACGATAGGCTCAAGGAACTCTTTCCAGGCGGTGGAACGAATACGTCGGCTAGTCCGGCGGATAGTGCCCAAGGTACTAGTCCCGTAAATAGGTCGCCACCTGCTGCTGCTGCTGTTCAGCAGCCAGTTGCGGATGAGGATGCGGAAGGCGAAGAAGAAGAGGAAGAGGAGGAAGAGGCGGAAGAAGAAGAGGACGAAGAAGAAGATCTCGAGTATAATTATCGAGATGACGATGATGAAGGGTTTGGGAATGAGAGTTATGACTACTAAAGTTTCTAGCGCTTTTTTTTCTCTTTTCATGTCAAGGATGTTGCATGGCGATTTGGAAGGATTATATCTCAGCCCTTTGGGCTTTCCCCCCCTTTTTTTTCTGGGGCGATTCCAATATAAAAAAGAGGGCGATGGGGGCGCTTGGGTTGCATTTACAAACAGGTTTATCTGACATAGTTTTTTTTTTCTTCTCTCTCATTGCATTCAGCTAACCTACTGAGTTTCTTTTTTATCTGTTGGAGTTTGGTTTCAACTAGGTACATATCCGCGTGTACATACATACATATACCCCCCCAACAGCGCTTTGGGCGAACGCATGACATAGATTCCAATGAAAAGAGGCGTTTAGTCCTTTCTCTCTCCCTCTCTCTCTTCTACTTCTGATCTTCCGCCCTTCATCACCCGTGTACAAAGCAAATCAAAATATTCAGAAATAATCACGTCCAGGTCCTTGATGTACACTGTTTTTTTTTTGTTTTAGGGGAGGAATTCCCAATGATTCGATTGGTCCCTGCTTCATAACTCGTGACACGCATGCTCATGCTACCCTAGATTTTTCCCGCAATTCAATAAAGACCCAAGCCCAGGTCCACACCCACCCACATACACACTCCGTGTTATGACCAAAACAGTTGTTGAAAGTAACAAAAAAAGAGAACGGAAAGAAAAAACAAAACGCCGGGTTTTACCGTTGTGCGAGCACAAAAGTCTATCGATCAAGAAAGCATGCAACAAGAAATCCCCATTTCTCTCTCTCTCTCTCTCTCTCTTTCTTGTTTCAAGACCTACAAACTTCGTGGTCTACTTGTATACACATACACAAATCCTCTAGCACATCTTGTACTGTGCCTCGCCAGCCGCCTGCCTGTGCATATCCTGGGTCTCGAGCTTGTAGGAGATGGTAATGTCCAAGTCGCGGTGGTTCTTCTCGCTGGGCTTGTTCTCCAGAATACCACTGATTGTCTCGCCCTCTTCGACGGTCAAGACGTCCTTGAGGTAGAAGACAGTCTGTTTCCAGTGCGTGTACTTCGTGTGAGGGCCGGTGGAGAAGCGGATGGGCTTGTGGCAGGCGGCAAACTCAATGTCGAACCATGCAATGACGGCGTGGACAAAGTCGTTGCGGCGTACCTTGAGCTCGTATGGTAACCGGAATGCGAGGTCGGCAACGGTGCACGTGTAAAGGTCGAGGGTGATGACCGGTGAAGGGTCAGTAACGACGGCCTTGATGTCAACAGTGTCGACGAGAGGTTCAGTCATGGCAGTGGCCTTGAGTGGGGAGTAGTCGAAGCCCCAGACGTTGTCCCAGACTGATCTCATTAGCATATTGGAAAAAATCGGTGGGATTCACCAGACTTACAGCCAATCTTCTCATCCTTGTACTCGCCATCTTCGATACCGGCCATGAAAATGGTAGCCTTGTCAGGGAAGATCAGGCCGTCCTTGACCAGGTACTTGTCGCGCGCATACAGGACAGTATCCAACATGGACTCGTAGAGCAAGAAGTATCCCATCCACTCGGATATTATTATGTCGACCTTGTCGAAGGGCAGGACAACCTCTTCCATCTTGCCTTGCAGCAGGGTGATCTTATCCGACAGGCCGTTGACCTCGACAATCTCCTTTGCCTTTTCGATAATGGTTGACATGTCAACACCGATAACGTGCTTTGCACCGGCCTTGGCGGCGAACCTATATCCCAGGTATCAGCGTGTGTTCCAGTACTGTGTGTTCGGGCGGGGGAGTACAGACATGCTGAGAATCGAGGTGCCGCATCCGACATCAAGAACGACCTTGTCCTTGAACAGGTGGGGGTTTTGGTATATGGCATCGCGGTAGCTCTTGGTTCGCACTTCATCTTTCTAGACGCATAACATTAGCCAAGCTGCCTGTGGTCGTGACTGCAACCTTTGCTCGGGCAAGGAAGGAAGTGGGGCAGGCGTACCAGCATTTCCTCGTGGATGCCTTCACCCGCGCGTTAGTATCACTCTCATCAAGACATGGTATTCTTTACGGACCATGGTGGTTGTAACTGCGCAACATGTTGTTAGTAAAATGTATCTTTGGACTGTCCGCGAGTGCCTACCTGTTGAAATAATGCGCCTCAGAGTGCGCCATGCCCGTGAGAGGGTCCTTCTTTCCTGTCTCTTGCTGGCTCGCCATGACGATTGTAAAAGCTAACGAATCTGGGAGTTGAGGGAGAAAATTTATGCAAGGCAAGAGAAGAGAGATTTGTTCTGCGATCGCCAAAAGGCAGGATACGGAAATTTTGGTTTTGGTAGAACCAGAAACGCACAGACACTAATCACCAAGGGTCTCAAAGCGGGGCAAGACATTGAGAAGCTAGTCCGAGAGAAGCTTGACACCACGATGATTAGATTTTCTAGCGCCTTACAGCGCTGTTTTTTTCAGAACTAATACTAAGTTTGCATATTAAACAATGTGCATAAGTACAATGACAAGGGAATCCAAACAGCAAGTTGCGCCAGCAGCAAAGGCCGATTGTCAATCAATTTGTTGGCCCAAGGAGGAAAAGTAGACCGAGTGGGGTATATCATGCCGAAAAGCAGAAGCCACCCTCATCGTAGTCGTCGTTTGCTCATCATTGTTGTCATAAAGTCATAGATATTTTTGTTCGTAAAGTCGTCATCGTCGTCTCAGCGAGTGTTGAGCATGTCGGTGCAGAGACGGGCAAGCCAGCATGCCTCGTATCTACTGTGTACATCTGGCAACCCTCAAGCCATGCCGATTCGATAGAAGCTCTCTCTGAATTGTTTTGCATCTGTACTTCGAGTCAGTGACGAAACGAGTACACTAAAGTGGATCGTCATACCTTCAGGGGTCGTGAAAGTGAGCCGGTATTTGCCCGTAGGTCCTTTGGGCAGCCTGTAGCTGTCACAGAACACGTACGGATGCAACTTTTCGAATTGTATCGTGTCGGGACTGACACGTTTCATCCAGTCCCTGCGTCCAACGTACTGTGTAACGAAGGCAGTCCAGATGGGTATGGTGTTCATTGGACCTCGACGAGCAGTAGCTTCGAAACGCACGCAGCCCGCATCTTCATCATAGTAGATACGGAAAGCATGTAGATATCTGTTGTCTGTAGTCTCACTGAGTTTTGTTAGAAATGCCCAATACCGAAGGTTCCATTGATAGCTTACCCGCTAAACATGATGCTTTCGGGCTCGAAAAAGTCAACAAGTACCTCTGGAACAGCAGTTTGGTCTTGTCGTTTCATGGCAATGGCAGTACAGTAGAACAGAACCATACCTAGATCATTGTTAGATGAGCTTTATAATGACAGTATTCAATGTGCTTACGTTCGTAGAGGGGGAAGCGTAACCTAGCCCAGAGATCCAGTTGCCCATCGCGGCGATTGGCCCGACAAAGCTGTAGGCATGAACCTGCTCGCCGCAGCGCCAGCGCTGTGATTGGGATCTGATATCTCATGCGGCGGCCTTCAGAGTCCATGGAAAGGAACAGGATTCGCGCACGATTGTCTTCAGCTCTGCAGTACATCCTTACCCATACGTTGGTAGCTTCGAAAGGCAATTCCAACACTTTATCAAACCCGTCGTCTTGCAACATTCCGATCACACGAGGTTCGTTCCTTCCAAAGCATTCGGTAGCCTCACCTAGTGTCTGAAATGGGGTTGAGCCGTGGCGCCCATCAAATATCTTCATAGCCCAATGTGCAGCAGGCTCGGAATCGGTAGATTGACTCGAATAGGCCTGTGATGATGCAGACGAGTGTGTGGGCGATTGAGGGATCTCTGGAACGGGTGGCGGGACAAAGGGTATATCTCCTATGCCGCCCCATGTTGGGGCAATATGAGCTCGATGGGGTAGAGGCGATGACGGATGTTGGTAGTTGTAATTGGCAACCGGATATGTAGGATGACTGTGTATTTTAGGTCGGGAAACTCTGGGAGAAGATGGCTTTGGTGTTTTGGCACCACTTCTGCCGCTACCTTGGACCGAAAGCTTGCTGAAGTATGATTCTATCGGCTTCTGTTTCTTGAGTAACTTTGATAATGAAACCTTGTAGTTTGCCAACTCAACGTCATTTTCCTCTCTACAACAAGTCAGCGGTTTTCACATGAACAACTCGATTCCACCACATACCCTTTTAATGTGTCGTGCATACCCTGTAGGTACATTCTGACTGCTTCGAACCTTTGGGGCAAGGACATGCCTTGTGTCTTGAAATCCGCAAGTGCATCCTCCCATATGATGGCGTAAGGCGGGGTGCCTGGAAAAGCGCCTGGCGCCGCGTGTCGACTTCTCTTGGACTTGCTGAAGATGTCTTGGACGTCATCAAGTGTATGCCCTAGAGTTGGAAGACAAATTTCGAGATCTTTGATAATGTAGGTTGCGTATCCTCTGTAGTTGATGGACCTGAGTGCATCATCCAACTCACGCAGAGCGTGCGAAATGGCATACAGCTCAGCCATATAGCCTCTGATGTCCTTGCGATATTGGGGGATCTCGCCCTCGAAGCTGAGCAGGCCATTGGCGGTCTCCTCAGCCTCCTTGGCGTAGTCTAGTAGTCGCCAATCCATAGCGGAGGGTGAGCCTGGGATTATACAACCGAGAAGAGATGATTACAAGCAACGCATAGTTTGGACGTCAGAAAGTCGGTGGTGAAGAGACGGAGTGGCGTTTGAGCGATAACGCTATAAGGTGAGCGTCTGGGGTAGCCGTCTGGTGGCATGCGCGCTTGAAGAGGGTCGGCTCTTGACGTGGTTATGCAGCAGCACGCCGGTGAGAAAGCCAATGACTTGTGCCGACAAATTCCCTTAGTACCAAGCCTGCATGTAGCCCGCAATCTCGCTTCCTCTTTTGCACGCTTTGTCTGATCGTACAATCTGGCCCCCAAGCCAAACTTTTCTCGTCTTGCTTTGTTTTTGCGCTCCGCGCAATTGTGTGCGCGGTAAGGCCGAGCCAGAGTGCTATCGTGGGTGGTCGGAGACGCCACTCCTGCACACTCCTGCAGGGCTGCGCTGTCAGTAGGAGATGGATCGGCACGCGCAGAGACGGTGATGGAGAATCGGCCGAAGTGTGCTGGTTGTTTGAATCGATGACCTGGTCCGCTTGCGTGCTGCCTCGAGGCGCTGCCGGACGGTGTCCTGCCTGACATATCCCCACTCGTAGCCCGGACTAGTCCTGCAACGTAAGCAATGCGGTCAAACAATGATCAAGAGTCTGGTGTCCGAAGCCACTGGCGGTCTGCGTCGGCAGCGTGTGGCTTGACAAGCGCCGGCCAGTCTTGGATAGAGGGGAAAGAGGAACATGGCTCGAATCCCAGTTCCAAGGAAGAGCGGCTGGAACAGCTGTGAGCAGACAAGGAGCCGCTTTGTCACAAATGCCCGGCGCAGGTCGTCACAATATATATGTGTGTGTGTTTGACAAAAGTAAGACTGCGCCTCACTCTGTCAAGCCACAATCGCAGAGGCTGCCAACCATGCTTTTGGTCTTGACGAGGCAACCAGATGAGCAGCCATGACAATGATCTATTCTTGTTGGGTACTACACCGGTGGGGCCGCCGACGGCCAGCCCATCGACTTGGCAGCTCCAGACTGCGCACATGTTCGCGTCTGCCTATCTTCCCAGCGCTTTCAGCCGCTCGTCCACCAGCTTCGACACCATCTTCTCCAGTATGGCGAACTCGCCATTGGTGGAGCCTTCAAAATACCCAGCCACGCTCTTCTCTACGTATTTGCCTACCTGGTCTACTTCGACATTGACGTCGTCGCCAGCCTTCTTGCTCGCCGTCACCACCTTTTCCTGAGTATAGGCGATAAGCATCACCTCCCACCACCCGTCAGGGCCGTCCTGGACCTTGGTCACTGTCAAGCTTGCCCCGTCTATCGTGACGTAGCCCTTCTCCACAATGTATCGTAGCACCGCCGTGTCGCGAGGTTTGAAGCGGAAGGTAAGGGCATTGCCGTCTGGAGTTATCGACTCGATAGTAGCGATAGTATCGACATGGCCTTGCACAAAGTGACCGCCCATCCGTGTATTTGCCGAGACGGCGCGCTCGAGGTTGACCTTGGAACCCTCCTTGAGCGAGCCCAGGTTTGTTCGCCGGAGCGTCTCGGGCGCGCATCCAATCTTGAACGAGGATTTGGTGAACTCGGTCACGGTAAGACATGTGCCTGCCCGAGTCAGACAGCAACCCTAGCAGTATTCGCTGCGACGTACCGTTGACGCTGATGCTGTCACCCAAATGGGCATCACCTAGGATATCCTCACATCCCGTAATGGTCAGAGACGTGCCGCCGCCTCCCGACGCTGTCTGGTCGAGCTTCTCAAGGGCGGCAACAGCTAGCTATCATCAGCGCTGTCGCGCAGAAAAGATGTCCTGTGACTGCTTACTGCCAATCGTTTCGACAAGTCCAGTGAACATGGTGGGGTAACGGATTGGAGAAGGAAACAATGGCGGGGGGCTGCAGCTTCCGACAACCTCGGAACTAGAACTAGTAGCGCATTTCGGGCATACCCCATACAAGCATCATCCCCCACGTCCAATACATGTCGTGACTCCTCACACCTCAATTCCAATATGATAGGCTCTGTTGTACGAAGCTCGAGATACGCTTTTCAACAGGTGTCGCCAATCCCAAGGCTTAGCTGGGCTAGGTCAAGTCATGTCAGGCGGCTTGCGACTGCAGCTGCAGGCGGAAATGGATCTGATCTTCCGTTAGCTGGCATCAAAGTGCTGGACATGACAAGAGTCCTTGCTGGTGTGAGTATTTCAGCCCTTGGTCTGTTGGGAATATTCTAAAATCCTTAGCCGTACTGCACACAAATTTTGGGAGATCTTGGGTACGACATGGACTGCCCTGTATGGACCAACGAACACAGTTGGCAGCACGGACGAATTGAGAATTGACTGTGTTCTAGAGCCGACGTTATCAAGATTGAACATCCTACCAGAGGAGGTATGTCGGAATTTAATCACGTGCATCAGGTAGACACTGACCAAGACAAAAAGATGACACCCGTGCATGGGGGCCACCCTACGCCAAGTATACCGACGAACAAGAGGGACCAGGCGAAAGTGCATACTACTTAGGCGTAAGGCTGCCTGTTGTCTTGACCTACTTGGCACTAAGCATGGGCAGGTCAATCGAAACAAACGATCCATGGGATTGTCATTTCAGCATCCTGCTGGCGTAGACATCCTCCATCGCCTTGTCAAAGAATGCGACGTGCTTGTCGAGAACTATCTTCCTGGTTCCCTCGCAAAGTATGCCATGGATTACGATACTGTTTCAAAGATCAACCCGGATATAGTTTACGCAAGTATCACAGGCTATGGTCAGACTGGGCCGTATAGGAATAGGGCTGGCTACGATGTTATGGTAGAAGCGTATGCCAAATAGTTATCTGTCAATGTTAGAGTGCAAGCTAACATGAGCTCAGCGAAATGGGCCTTATGCACATAACCGGAACTCGCGACGGCCCGCCCGTAAAGGTAGGCGTTGCAGTGACCGATTTGACAACTGGTCTCTACACGTCCAACTCCATCATCGCGGCCCTTTTCCGACGCTTCAGGAGCCCTGGATCCGGTGGTCAACACATTGACGTCGCCCTTTCGGACTGTCAGGTGGCTACTCTGGCTAACATTGCTAGCTCTTGTCTCATTAGTGGACAGCGCGACTCTGGACGCTGGGGGACCTCGCACCCGTCAATTGTGCCCTACAAGGCGTTCAAGACAGCTGATGGGGACATTCTGCTTGGCGGGGGGAATGACAAGCTGTATGGAACACTGTGCAGTAGGCTAGGCAAACCTGAGTGGATTACCGATGAGAAGTTCAAGACGAATGCATTAAGAGTACAGCATAGGGATGAGCTGGAGGAGTTGATCGAAGCGGAAACACGAAAGAAAAGCACTCAGGAGCTGCTAGAGATCTTTGAGGGAAGCGGAATGCGTGAGTGGTTTTGGGAACGCTTTTCAATCAACCATTGGGCTGACTTGTATAGCTTATGCTGCCATCAACGATGTTCAAGATACGCTGAATCACGAGCATGGTATGTTTGCATTGGCACCACGATTGTTTTGCACTGGTGAATACTAACAGTACCAAGTGCTTGCGCGTAACATGGTCAAAGAGGTCGAGCACCCAGCATGCGGGCCAATCAAGCTGGTAAACACGCCGGTGAAATGGTCGCAGTCTACTCCAGGAATCCGGCTGCCACCGCCGTTGCTGGGCCAGCATACCAATGAGATTCTGAATGATACGCTAGGAATGAGCAAAGAGGATGTGGAGGCCTTGCGGAGCGAGGGTGTTGTTGCGTAGTTGCCAGGTCGATATTATCGGAAGCATGTCACCCGCGTGAATCAGGCTTCGAGTCCGAGGCGTAAATTACTGTACGAAGAAACATGGCATGGCCACATGTCTGCAAAGGGCCTAGAACATGCCGTCCAAGATGCTAGTGCAAGGAACATCGATGCGCCATGACGCGATGCGGGAAACCACCTGTGTTGCCGGGGCAATCACGGCCGGGGCTTGTTTACCGGCACACGCGAGCATGGCTGGGTCCATATTAGTGGTACACCATTGTTAACTAACTTCGGGCCTGCATCCTGTGCAAGAGACTCTCACGTACACATACGTACATCCCCTCGCCATGGACGCCCCGACGCGCCCCTCTAGTTCGCTCTTCAATGTCTTTTTACGCCTGCGCCCCTCCAACGCTACAAGCGCCCGCTTCCTCACCGTCGAGGAAAGCAACCAAGGCCACCCAACCCATATCACGATACAGCCGCCTACAAATACAAATGACAAGCGCAAGCGAGCCGTTGAGCGGTTTGCCTTCACACAAGTCTTTGAGGAGGATGCGCAGCAAATGCATCTGTTCAAGGGCACCGGCATTGTCCAGATGATTGAGGGCGTCATGGGCGCACCAGGCCACCATGGAAGAGATGGACTATTTGCAACGCTAGGCTGCAGTGGCTCCGGAAAGGTGTGTTGCACCATATGTGACATTGGGGTGCCTGGTATTAACACACGGACAGAGCCATACAATTCTTGGAACCAAAACCCAGCGTGGTTTGGTTCAGATGACGCTAGATACTGTCTATCAAGCCTGTGACGGGCAACTCGTACAATCTTTTTATGGGGCCCCAGCCTTCTCGTCACTGGCGGCAGCCGATGTCTCAGATTCTCAGATGTACACTGCAACTGCATACTTGGATACAGTATATGGAGACAACCAATCTGAACGATTTCCTTCACGAGCGCAGACTCCCATGCAGGTAAGTTGCTTCCTTTAGATTGCAGACCACCGCAGACAAGAGCTCACTGGTGAAATAGGATTGTAGTATATTCTCCACGGGCAGCAACTGGAAATCAAATAAGATCCCGCGGCCGTCATTGCTGCCTCAGACCCCTTCTGTTGACGATATTCACCTTCCTGAAGACCCGACAGTAGAATACGCAATCATCATGTCCATGTACGAAGTATACAACGACCGTATCTTTGACCTTTTGAGCGGCAGCGCCTCAAAAAACAAGAGCCACAGTGTGAAGCGTAGGGCGCTGCTCTTCAAGAACACTGAGCAAAGTCCGGATCGCAAAGTTGTTGCTGGGCTTACCAAGATTATCTGTGGCAGCTATGAGGAAGCTATGATG